CAACAATTAGAAACTAAACGGAAAAGATCAAAAGCTAACTGGTATGAAAATGGGGAAAAAAGCAACAAAATATTTTTGTAATTTAGAAAAAAGAAATTATGCTGACAAAACTATAAGTGAATTAATTAATGATAACGGGGATATTTTGAAGGAACAGAATGATGTTATGCAAGAGGAGGTCAGTTTTTTCCAACAAAGTATTCTTTGTCACAATTAGATTTGGAGGATCTAGAAGAATCGTTCTCTTTTGAGCATCAGGTTAAATTAGATAATTCAGACAGATTAAATTGTGAAGGAATTCTGAAATTATAGGAAATGGTCGAAGCTTTTGAAAATTATGAAAAATGGGAAAAGTCCTGGTTCCGATGGATTTAGCGTTGATTTTTATAAAAAAATTTGGGCAGATTTAGGTGTGTTTTTACTGAAATCTATAAATTATGCATACAGGGTGGGACAACTTTCAGAATTTCAGACTCGGGGCATCATAACAGGTATTCCAAAAGGAGAAAAAGATTGTAGATATTTGAAAAACTGGAGACCTGTTTCTTTATTAAGTATTGACTATAAAATTGCTTCAGCTGCTATAGCTAATAGACTGAAAGTTGTTTTACCAAAAATCATAAGTGATTCTCAAACAGGCTTTTTCAAAGGTAGGTTTATTGGTGACAACACAAGACTGTTTTATACAAAAACACTTAAGCATGACTGCAGTTAACAATTTATTGATGATTGTAAACGTGTTGTTATATGTACATGGAAAACATAATTTTTTTTGGAGCAAACAGGGGCAACTCGCTCATGAGCACCTAATAAAACTAAGATATCAAGCTTGACTCTGTGACGTCAGAGAAGCACAGTGAAGAAGGCAATCGGCCAGACTCCATATAAGAGAAGTACTTGACTCTGAAGAGACTCGGCTCAACGAGAAGTGACTTGACTCTGTGACTTACTATGTATACAGAGTAGCTGCCTTCAAAAAGTAAGTGAACGAGCTTGACTCTGTGACATCAGAGAAGCACAGTGAAGAAGGCAATTGGCCAGACTCCATATAAGAGAAGTACTTGACTCTGAAGAGACTCGGCTCAAAGAGAAGTGACTTGACTCTGTGACTTACTACGTATACGGAGTAGCTGCCTTCAAACACAGGACAAACTTGACTCCTAGGGTAACCAATGAGGAGACCCTGGACTCTGTAATGATTCAGAGAAGTGACTTGACTCACATAAGGTCCTTGGAGAAGCTAGACTAAAGTTCTAAAGATAACTAATCATATGAAGTGATTGGGGGGAAAAATTCCCCAAGAATTAATGAGCCAAAAATGAGCGAGTAATTCAGTGATATGAGCGAGTATTGCATTTATGAGAAGAAAATGATGAATCAGTTTGTTAGACTTTGAAAAATCATTTGATTCTATCAATTAAAATTTTATACAAACATTCAAAAAGTTGCATAATAAACAATGGCCATCTCTCTAATTTCTTCAGTTTAGGGCGTGGTTGTCGTCAAGGTGACCCACTCTCACCATATATTTTTATAATAGTGGTAGAACTTTTACCAATAGCGATTAAAGCTAACAAGGATGTTAAAGGTATTATTATTAATAACAGGGATCTATGTTTGAGTTAGTATGCTGATGGTGCTTATTTACTAATGGATGGTTCTGAAAATCCCTCAGATCAGTCGTTAATTTGTTAAAACAATTTGCTATCATTTCAGGGTTAAAAATAAATTTACAGAAATCAAGTTTATATGGGATTGGAAATAAAACATTTTCAGAGGAACGTATATGTCCGGAGCTGAATCTATTTAAATATTTAGACATCTTTTAGTTTTAAGAATCAATAGTTCATCATTTACACAATATTTCTCTATCATAGTACACAAATTCATTATTTAACACCGCACAAGTATATATCTATAAATACGTGATGAGGCCGCCCGATCAGCTGATCGAAAGAGCGGGAAAACGATGAAAATGACATGCCATTTTCTCCACGTTGATAATGCTAGTGCGTGTTGTTGAATGTGAATGTGCATCCATGGAAGGATTAGTTAGATAGAACCCTGATGACATGTTTGACTGAAAGGCTGCAGCGGAATAATTGATACTGAGGTTAGGCTGTGTATTTTCTTAGGGCATCGGTACACCATCAGCCCCTCGTCATCGGACATAGCGCCAGCCTCAGTCATGGTGTCGGTGTGTTGCAGACGACAAAATTCCTATCTCACGCGCTTAATTCTAACAAGATTTTATTTTTTTGTTAATTCCATATATTTTAAAGATATTTTTGTAAGGATTGGCATCATTTTTCTTCTTATTTCTGAACGACATCTACTATAATCTCGTTTTGTAGCGTTCCCCACCTGGACAAGTAGTTCTTACATTTTATTTGATATCTATGCGCAAGCCTAATCACCGTACGTAAATATCGAAAATTATTAACATTGGGTTGGGCTTACTTCATGGTGAGAGAATGCAACGCAAGTGTAAATATATCTCATTGGTTGGTAGAATCACAGTTGTAAAAAACATTAGTTTCTAAGTTTGTGCATTTATTCACATCATGGCCAAATCCACCAAAACAATTTCTAGACAAATTAAATAAACATATTTTCCACTTCATCTGGAATTTTAAGACAGAGAAGATTAAAAGGGATATATTTGTAGGTAAAAAAGAAGAAGGTGATCTTAGTGTAACACATATATACTCATTTAATAAATACTTATAAATGAAATGGATAAAGAAAATTTATAATGAGTGTAGTGCTTCTTGGAAATCAATACAAAACATTCTTCCAGTTAACCCTGATATTTTGTTTGATCTTGATAGTGCAAAGTTAATAGAATTAGCAAGACGTGTAAAAAACTGCTTTTGGAAAGATGTAATTAAGGCTCTAGCAGAATTACAGTCAGAACCAAATCTCTTGATGAGTATCTTGGGAAAGTATCTTAAATTTGTCAACATTTGAATCTTTTAGACATTTCACACAATGGAAACAACATGGATTAGTGTAAAAATTTTATTGAAATCCAAGGAACACCTGGTTTACACTATTTAAAGTATTATGCACTAGTCAGAAAAGTAGATAGAAAATGGAAACAAGAATATAGGGAAGAACTTCTCAATAGAATAAATGTTAGACCATTAAAAAGAAGACATACTTTCAATGATGTTGTCAAAATCCAATTCCAAATTTTCATATTCCATGTTTACTGCCAAATACGTTCAAACACCAATTAAAAGCCAAGACAAATGGCAATCAGTATTAAACTTGCAAACCTCTCCCATGGATTGGAGTAGTTTATACAAAAATGTATTCAATTAAACACAGGAGACAAAATTAAAAACATTTCGGTATAAGATATGTCACAGGATCCTACCTACCATTGATTCATTGTACAAAATGCAGATTGTTCCCAATAACAAATGTACTTTCTGTCAAAGACCACCTGAAACAGTGGAACACATCTTTTCTAAATGTTTTATTCAGTACAAATTTTTGAGGAGCTTTACCACTGGTATTCACACTATGAACCAATTGACCAATATTATTTGAGAGAAGTTGACGTCTTGTTTGGCAATCAACGGTTCAGTAAGCTTTTAAACCACTTTCTCCTCCTCACAAAACATCACATATACTACAGTCAAGTTAATCATATAATACCAAACTTTTTGGCATGTAAAGCTATTTTCAAAAAAGTAATGACTGTTGAAAAACTTATTGCCTCAAAGAACAACACTTTGTTGGATTTTGAGCAAAAATGGGGAATTTTTTCGGGTCTTCTTTGAGATAATTTATTTTCGTTTTCATCTACCGATATCAAAGTTCTTCAGTTTTTTGTTTTTGAGGGGTCATCATTAAGGCAATAAAATGGACTTATGTCCCTTAAAAGTCCTCTTTAATCAAAAGAAATAGAAACCCCAACCTTTCCCCTAAAGACCTCCATCAGTCCAAAGGTCCTTGTTTGTTATTGCAAGATATTCAGTATGTGTTATGTGTGAAAGGTGTGTGAAAATTTTGATCAACTTGTATAAAACAAAACTATACAATGACCTGTTTGAAAGTGGTGTGAAGAAGTTGTGAAAAAAGACTGGAGATATTTGGAAAAAAGACTATGGGGGAATAGACTATGTAAATATTTATATTTTGTACATATGAATGGTGTATGGTGTGTGGTGTACGAGAACCCTTCTGTGGAGAGGGCATTATTTGTACGGGACTGATCCCAGGGCCCCAACCCTGGCAGTCTCAATTATCGCTGGAATAATAAAATATTTGTGTAAAAAAAAAAAAAAAAAATTGACAACCAACAAACAGACAGACGAACAGACAGCACAAAAACAATAAGACCCTGATCTTTTGTCCTGGGGCATAAAAATTAGGGATGGAATGAAAAATGTAGGGATGATTTGGAAACTGGAAAGAAAGATAATTTTTTGTTTGGCTATAGCAAAACATGAGAAGTATATGTTCAACAGGGCTCAGTAAAAGGTTCACACTTTAAAGGTATAGAAAACTAAAGAAGGAATGTCGCAATGACCATCTCTGTGTTATTCTGTTGTGCTGCCCATATGTTTATCTCAACCGCAGTCTGTCAATCCATTTCTATGTTTACTTAAGTCTGTCCTTTTCTATTCTGAATGGAGTATGTCTGTTTCTAGTAGTAGTCTTGTCTGTCCATTACTGTCAATTTTGTCTAAAGTCTGTATTCATTTTTCATTATCTTGACTAAATACAGTCAATTTGTTTCATCTTTAATTATTTCTGTATTCTTTTCTTCCAATGATGACAACAGTCAATTTTAAATGATGGATATGTGAGTGATATATAGTCTCAGTGATCTCCAAGTACAGATCACAGTTTGTAAATTTTTTACTTTCATGGTTTTAGAAACTTATTTCTGATAAACAATGACACTTCATAACAGGAAACACAAGAGTTATATCCCTTATTTGAACTCTTACTCTATAATGCTGGTGTATTTCGCCATATTGCGAACTGTGTCTCATGCTCGCCTGGGTATATCTGATTACAAGTGCAGAGTGTGCCACTGAGTAAACATTTAAGTACGTGTGTACAGCCGATGTCACTTAAGTTCAGTTAGTTCATGTCAGTACTGTCATTGTAGAAGGAACAGGGTTCTGTAACAAGTTAAATGATATTGTATAACAGTATTTAAACCAGCTATTACATACTGGATACGGGAAGAACGTAAAGAATGAAGCCAATTTTTTTTAAAATTTTTTCAGTGTTAATAGATATATACTAAGGGGGAAAAGAAACACAACTTCAACTTCACACATTAAGAAGATGATATATTGATGAGTAATATGTGAAATGCACAAGTTAACTTTGAATATTAGACCTGCTGTCTTCAAATTTTCTGAGGTTTTTGATAAATCAGGACTTCATTAGAATCCATGAATTAGGAAACCCTTATTACACAATGTTGAAATGATGGCAGGTGTCAGACCAATCCCTGATAGTGTGTGTGCCTTCCCATTTACAGCTAAAGCTTCTCTAATTCTGCATGGCATAGAGTTCATAAGGACATTGGCTGTCTAGAGGAACCCTTAGAGGAATGTTATTTTCATGTATTTCATTCCTAATTAACTCTTGTAACATTTGTTAGAATCGTTAGTTTAAGGTGATAGTTTGATGGTATACATATATTGACCCTTTGCTGACCCCCAAGGGGCTGATGGGCATGGCCAAGATGGATGTAATTGCTTGAAATTTCAAAAATATTTTTTTCGATACCTAGATAAGGAAGGATAAAATACTTTTCATGGATGGAAGGGTCTTAAGGTGTTTTACCAAAATTGTATATTTCATAACCCCTGGGTCTCATATTTCCCCCCTGGGATGGGGGTAGAGTTTACAGTAGTCTACGTCGGAAAATTACATTTTTGAGCATAATTTGTTTATTTTCTGTAAGAAGTAGCTCTATTTTGATGGTGTGATATTTTGATGGTACACACATACTGTCTGCCCCCCATGGGCTGATGTGTGGAGCCAAAAGGGGTCATATTCTCTCAAATTTCAAAGATTGTCTCAATACCCAAGTATGAGAGAATTTATTAAATACAGTTCCTTGATGGAAGAGTTATATAGGAAAATACATTTTTGAGTGAAATTTCTTTTAATTCAAATGTAGTTAAAAGCCTCCAGTTCAAATAATTTTCACATGTTTCACACTCCTCAATCTCTATTCGACTACTGTACACACACTTCAGCCATACAGTGTCTATATACATATATATTGTTATTTGGAAATGGAAAAGGGGTGATTATGATAAGACTCCACAAAATGGGTTTGTAACCCAGAGAAAATCCCAAAACAATGTAATACATTGGTACTCCATCTAATGACGTCAGCTATAGGTAAGTGGGTCGGTGGAAAATTCAGATCATTTGTGTAAATATTGTTTGGCTAGGAAACAAAGTGACAATGCACAGGATAAATATAAATCTTTGACATATTCCATTGTCTACAGCTTAATACTTTTTTTTCAGACTGACCCTTCATCATGACCGTTCCTGAAAGTAAATTAAAAATAGGTGGTGAAAAGTCAGCAGTTGAAGAAAAGCCAATTCAGATTGGAGGATCAAACCCAGAGGACACAGTGAGGAGGAAAGAGCATCCAATGCAAGGAACTGAATCCACTGTTTATCCGTCTGGTATTGGAGGATCAAACCCTGAGGACACAGTGAGGAGGAAAGAGCATCCAACGCAAGGAACTGCATCCACTGTTTTTCCGTCTGGTATTGGAGGATCAAACCCAGAGGACACAGTGAGGAGGAAAGAGCATCCAACGCAAGGAACTGCATCCACTGTTAATCAGTATCAACTGAAAATCAGTGTTACAATTCAATTGTGTGATGATGTTGATGAATGTCACAAAACTACCACAATGGAGGACCACTGTCTTGGTTTTCAAAGTGACAGTTGCCAAAATATGGAGAGAGATGGTTGCTACAATGACCAAACTCCTGTACAAAATATGATGTCTCTTCTCTGCCAAAGTGGACCATGCTTGGTGGCTAAATGGATCTCTAAACAAGTATGTCACCTCTACTCAAATGGACCATACTTGGTGGCTAAAGGTATGAGCACAGAAGTATCTATCCTTTACCAAAATGGACCACAGTTGGTGGTTCAAGGGTTCAGCATACCAATTTCTCTCCTCTGCCCAAATGGTTCATACTTTGTGGCCAAGCTGACCTGCATGCAGTTTATCTGTTACCAAACTACATCTAACCCATTGGCTAAGAGGATATGCATGCAATATGCTTGCCCCAGGGCAAGACAGCATAGTCTCGATTTCAAGTCTGACCAAAAGTGGTATGGTCTTTCTGGAATTTTGTCACTACAGCCGAGCAGTAAAATACATGTAATGGTGTGTGCTGTAAGAGCCGATTTTCCTCCACCACAACAAAACATGGCAGGAGTTCAGGAAGATCCAATACAGCAGCCAGCACAGAATGACACAGGCTTGTTGGCTATCGCAGACCATGACTTCAATCCTCCGAACTTTGTTCAGCCACAACAAAACATGGCAGGAGTTCAGGAAGGTCCAATACAGCAGCCAGCACAGAATGACACAGGCTTGTTGGCTATCTCAGACCATGACTTCAATCCCCCGAACTTTGTTCAGCCACAACAAAACATGGCAGGAGTTCAGGAAGGTCCAATACAGCAGCCAGCACAGAATGACACAGGCTTGTTGGCTATCGCAGACCATGACTTCAATCCCCCGAACTTTGATCAGCCACAACAAAACATGGCAGGAGATCAGGAAGATCCAATACAGCAGCCAGCACAGAATGAGATAGGGTAGCCTTGACGACAACTGCGATGGATGTCAACAGAGGCAGAAATATTACCTCCCTGATTAATTGAGGAGTAAATATTAGTATGCAAAATTTTTCCTAATATCCCGCCCAAAATTGAAATAATCAAGAACTTTTATCAATAAAATCCCATGAAACAGAATCAAAAGCTTTCTCGAAATCGACCATTAGGAGCATTCCTGGAATACCTAAATCTTCAGCATAAGACATTATGTCATAAAGAGTATGAATATTTTTTGCAGATTCAGCGCCCCGATAAGAAACCTGTCTGATCTTCATTTATAAGCTTTCCTCGAACTGATTTTATCCTATGAGAAATTATTCAAGAAGCTATTTTGAAGGAAATGTTTAACAAAGAGATAGGTCTCCAGTTTTTTTAAGAAATGATGTGGTTTATCTCCCTTTGGAATACAGGTTATTATTCCATGTCTCTGAGTGATAGTAAGCTGACCAACAGAAAAACTGTAATTTATTGAACGGACAACAAAACCTCCTATAAATTTCCAAAAGGTCTTAAAAAATTCAGGGGTGAAACCGTCTGATCCAGGACTCTTATTATTGTTCATATTTTTCAAAACTTTACCTGCCTCTTCTATAGTGATCATACCTTCCAGATTCTTAGACTCTGTGTTACTTAATTTTGGTACTCCACAACCCTGAAGATGATGATTTAAATCGACAGCATCAACTTCTCTAAATCTGTATAAATTTTCATAGAATTATCTAACATCATTTAAAATATCCCCCTGGTTTGTAATCACATTACAATATCTAAATATTCAGGATCACACAACAAAGAATTATTAAGTTTCCATAGACCCCTCCCTCTTTTAAATTCATTTAACTGTAAAACTGTAACTGTAGCTGAATGGTCAGATCTATAACTAGATTCAGTAATTGATTTGTTAACACTAGATAACAGACAGTCTGAAACAAGGAAAAAGTCCAGTCTGGCCTGTTTTACAGGATTATTTCTTCTCCATGTATATCTTTTGGTATCTGGGTGTAGTTCTCTAGAAATATCAATAAGATTATATGTATCTTTAATTTCTAAAACCCTATCCCTAGCAGCTGCATTGGTTATATTTCTATATGTATTATCGTAGTCTAAATCTGGACTCAATACCAAATCCAAAACTGTCTATGGCATCTGAGACTTGATTATAAAAATCAGGATTATCGTGATTTGGTCCATAAATAGTAACTGAAGTTATTCTAGTACCCTCAATATCAATATCGATACCCAAAAAATTTCCATTTGAATCACACTTTTCTTTGTAAACTTTGCTTTCGAAATTATTTTAAAAAATTGCAACCCCACGTGAATTAGATGAAAAAGAAGTGAAAAAACTATCATAACCCCACTCAGTTTGTAGAAATTTAATAGAGCTTACAGTAGAGTAACCTTTTTACTGTTTAAAGTTTTCTTCAAAGAGGTTGCATTCTTTTTAATATAACTGTTAATCAATTTTGAGTTTGCTTTTCATTGCAAGGTAATAAAGTATATCTGCTTTTTCATATGTTGTTGTTGTGTACTTGATCATAAGAAAACAATCAATTTTGAGTTTGCTTTTCATTGCAAGGTAATAAAGTATATCAGCTTTTTCATATGTTGTTGTTGTTGTGTACTTGATCATAAGAAAACATTTCTTTAGTCAATGAACTGTAAATGTGTGGAACAGCTTGCCCCAGCACATTATAAATGCTACTACAGTCAGACAGTTTGAAATTTTAATTGATGAAAATTTTAAAATTAATCAAAATGTTATCATTTAATGAATTCACGGAATAGCACCAGAAGTAATTTTAACACAATTTTTTTCATGAATTGTTAAATATTGATATGGACAAAGAGGCTAACAAGCCTGCATCCATCATGTATCGTAATAAATCGTAATCGTGATCTCATTTCAGTGATTTTTGTGCAGAAATTATTGTGCTTAAATATGATAGCAATTTCTGTATCTTGTTGACGCAGCAATTCTTTTGGATTGGTAAATTTATCACTGTACTGATTTTCCAAAAAATTGGACTGCACCAAAATAAGTACAATTACCGTATGGTCATAGTGATCAATAGTAACAATATTAAAACCCGTCATTCTCTGCCCCTTCCACAATATTTACAAATTTGTATCTGCGTTTTAGAGCACATGGTAGTTAGTTCATCAGGTTTTTGGCACATCCAGTGCAGGGCATGGACAATCTTATGCTATCATGTAGCTTGATGTACTTCATCAAGTTTGATTTAACTTTGACATATGCTCGGAAAGGCATTTTTTGTTTGTTTTATATCTATAATCATCGGTCCAAAAGTAGAACTGTTTATAAGAGGCAGGAGACGAAACTTATTGAATGCTTTCATCTAAATTAGGTTGATATCCATTACACGGTTTGAGCAATGGTTAAACTTGGTTTCTCAAACCAAGTAAAGGATTTGGTTGGATATCTGGGGTGATTTCCACTTTTGGCTCAGTTTCTCTTCCCAGATAGGGAAATTAACTCAATATATCTACCCAGAAAGGGGAATTAACTCAATATATCTACCCAGAAAGGGAAATTAACTCAATATATCTTCCCGGAAAGGGGAATTAACTCAATATATCTTCCCAGAAAGGGGAATTAACTCAATATATCTACCTAAAGACAAGAACTAACTCAATGTCTCGATCTAGACAGGGAAAGGAAGTACATCTCTCCACCCAGAAATGGAAATTTTGACTTTATCTCTAGTCAGAAGGGACAGACATTGGCAACTACTCTTGAATATTCCAGTTCAAATTTGAGTAATCCCTACAGAAGTCTTATGAAGACAAAATTGAAGATGACAGGCTACAAAAATGGATGCTTTACATTCTTGGAACAAGGTCACATAAACCATTACGTGAGACAATGTAATCAGACTTAAAAAATAGTAATATGAGTAAGTGTCCAAGCAGGGAAAAAACGCTATGAAAAAAACATCTGAAACTTTCACAAAAATAAAAAGATAAATATCACACTGTAAGGAATTTATTTGTTTCTGAACAACATTGTCATGACATTACATTAAAAAAAAATCCGGTTGATATGAACATTTTCTGTAGAATATGTACATACTTATAGTATATTGCACCATTTATTATCAAAGGAAAATGTGTTCTTCCAATAAATATACATTAGAACGCTTGCATGTAATGTAAAAATCTGTTAAACAATGAATAATCTAAGATTTATCTAAATATATCAATGAGCATATATTAATGCATAGAACATTGCAGGCATGATGGCAACTTACAAATCTAGTAATAGATAAAATAAATCAACAGATTATTTCTTAAAATACATCAAAAATCTTAATGTCATTAAGACTATTGTAAAAAAGTTATTGTTGTATAACAGAGAAATTCAACTGTCCTATATTGACCTTCAGCAAATATTAATTTATTGACTTATAAAATAAAGGACTTCAATATTCATGATAAAGTCACATTACAGTACTGTTGATACAAGCAGCATATATGATCTAATGATACATTTTATTTTTATGCATTTTAAATTCTTAATACACACAAAAAAGGCACTTCTCAAAAATACTTAAATTTACAAATTACTGATATACAACCTTCATAAACTTCATAAACAATGGTGAAGACGAAGACTACGCCAAGGAAAACCTCGGAATCCGGGTGGAAGCCTAGGATTCCACATATTTTATGCGGAAAAAGCTATGCCAGCATCAAGAGCCTGAGGAGGCACGTAAACGTTAATCACTCATCCACAAAGACCTGGTATAAATGTAAGATCTGCAAAAGGTCTTATGGAAGAAACTCAGACTACTTAAGACATCAAAAATCGGAACATCCCATGATACAAGGTTACAGAAATAATACAAGACAATACTAGGGAGGAGGCGAAAGCACCATCCAACAAGAGACCATCTGAGAGCAAGTGATAGATTTTAAAGTTCCGGGTTGGCACAAAATCGGCGGAGGACCACCCATGTACTGGACCACAATTGAGCAGTTGAAGGTCGCCCTAAGCGACGACTCTTCAGAAGCATCAGGATCCATGGCCAATACCTCAGAAAGTGAATATATGGGAGAGAAGAGAGATTATAAACAATATAATTATGTTTCGGCATCTACATCCACACTGTGTTTAGATGAACACTGATAGGATTATAGTGAAGAATTGACTCATTAACCTACTAACCGTGATGGAGATAGTGTTATTTATAACTGATAACATGTAGAATCTTTAAGTATAGAGTACAGGACGTACAGTGATTCTTGTTACATAGAGCTAGCATCATATACTACAGTGAACAGACTTTGAATTGTTACGTCACAATAACACATGTACTATTTATAAATTTGAGGGAGCCGCATTTCATGTACTTTCCTCATGTTTGCCTGAAGAAGCCCGGGAGGGCGAAACCGGTAGATGGTATAATAAACCCTATAAACCATCACTCCACAGACTGTTGTGATTGATTCTTATTGTCTGACCTTCATAAACTTTATACGTAATGGATAAATTGTAAAATTTTGATACTGTATAGTGAGACAAAATTTTCCGTCAAATATAAATTATGTATAGCAAATTTCACTGGATATTTACAAATATCAATATTGAAGTATGAGCATGTGATGTTTGTATTGGCACAAAATCAGTCATGATTACACAATACTGTGTCAGCTAAACAGGAGTACTAGCACCTTAAACACCATGCATCATAAAGTTCAGAGATTTACAGGGCAAATGCAACATCCCATCTCGATTTTCATTTTTCCTCTGTTGCCTCTAAATTCCAAAATTCAGGAGCTTAGCATGACTAACAAGTCATGGAAAGAGGACACAGCTGTATGATGGAGTTCAATTCATTATTTGGCTCTACCATATCCAATTATACATGTGTATCAACAGGTATAATTCACGTCAATGTCTTTTGTACCATCTTTTATGACCGATAGCAATTTGTACTCTTTGAAACAAATTTCCTTTATCATAAGAACTAAAAACCCCTACATCGATAAAATTCTACTATATAATGTACTTCCCTATAGCTAATAACCCCATTTCTTATCCCTTTCCTGTACCCTATGACTGACGACACCATTTCTTATCCCTCTCCTGTACCCTATGACCGACGACCCAATTCTTTCCCCTTTCTATACCCTGTGGCTAATAACCCCAGTTTTTATTTCCTTTCGGTACCCTATGACTGATGACCCCATTTCTTATCCCTTTCCTGTACCCTATGACTAATGACCCTTGTTCTTATCCCCTTCCTATACTCCATGACTAATGACCCCAGTTCTTTCCCCTTCCTATACCTTGTGACTAATAACCCCAGTTTTTATCCATTCCCTGTACCCTAAGACTGATGACCCCAGTTCTATGACCCATGGCACATTTATCTACCCTTTAAAATAACATTTCTTTATCAACACCAGTGCTTATCCTCTATGTCTATTTCTACTATTGACTATCACCGTTTTTGCTCTAATCCCCTTCTTCTACCCCAACTACCCACGGTTCAGGGTCAGCTTTCCACTTCAGTATGTAGTCTTTATGTTCTTTAAGTAGAGGAGAGGAGACCAAAATCTCTTCTACAACCTCTTTCTTCAGTACACAATACACATACATGGATTTTAACAATTTACAATCCCGTGCTAGGTTGAGGAGTGCTGCTCCAAGTTCATCGGAATTTCTAGTCTGTAGAACAATCTTTTCCAGGGTAGGACTGTAGTAAGCTGTGGCAATGTTCACCTCCTCAAAGATCCTTGTGAAAGTTTCAAGTCGGAGCTCTCTAACTGGAATTTCTGGCTGCATAAGTTCTTTGATTCTGTTGAATGGACATGTGTGATCAAATCCCAGACTGACTCTGAGATTAGGCACAGCAGTTACTAGGTCCTGCCATACCTCAGATGTTAGTGTTTTGTTGTACTTCTCCTCCCTCCGACACACTATACCCAGATGTTCCACAGGGGTTCGGTCACTTTCTGCGAAGCACGCAAGGATGTCATCTGATAAACTACAATGGTAGGCCATTAGGTCTGTCAGTTTCCTACACTTATCAACAAGATGTAACACTGCAGAAGGACTTACCTTACAAATTAACATCCTGTTGAGGATATTTAATGATTGCAAGTTTGGATGGTTGTCGGCTAAAATTGTAAAAACTGAATCATCATAGGCGGCAGTAAGTCCACTGAGGTCAACATGTACTATCTGTGATAGTGGAGGGCTAATTGTGGGTGGAGTTGGACCAAACAGCATCTTCAATGCAGCCACAAACTCAGCTCCTGCATAAAATAATGGGTTTTCACCAGTAAAAGTGACACAGATGGCTGTAAGTTGGCGACCTGCAGTTGTGGCAAGTGACTCAATCACACGACAGGCATAGTGTCTATTCTCTTCCTCACTTTGATCTAATGTGAGCTTCACACTCCTAACATGGTGACCATGTTTGGCTAAGAACTGGTTGTAGTCAAAAATGTTGTCCGTATTGTGGTTAACGGTGGACAGAAAGCGAAAGTGGAAGTAACGCCACATGCAAGGCTGTTGAAAGCATGCCTGCCATGACTGACAAACCAAGGATGCCTTGTAACGATCAGCAAGGTCAAGATGAAGAAGTATCCGTACAACAATGTGGTCAGGAAGTGTTGACCAACTTTGTACCATATAACCATTTGTAGCCATGAGCAAATAAGGTCCAGTCAGCTCTAAACAGCTGGAATAAGAAAATACAATCATTACTTAAAAGAAGTTAACTGTCCTAATAATCAAGATGGTTTCCATTACCAAGTAAATTACTGAAAATACTAGATTTGTCATATGTTGATGTGTTATTATGACATTTCAGAGGGATGGCACTACAATAAAACTGTTTACTTTCCCCTGTCATGCCTAATGGAAACTGTTTAATATAATCTTTTACTCTCCTCAGTCATCTCATTGACTTTAAAATTTAGACCCATAGCATCACTGACGAGTCCTGGGATGGGGAAACAGCTGTATGATGTAGCATCACTGGCGAGTCCTGGGATGAGGAAATAGCTGTATGATGCAGTATAATTTACTGTTTGTCTGTATGGTATCTAACTCTTAATTTAAAATAAAAGGTGCTATTCAGTTGTGTCTTTTGTACAATCTTCTTACATATAATTAACCTGCAATAGACTTTGTCATGTTGAAGACTGTATCAACATATATATGCAAGGGAGTGCTCGACAACAGAAGGAACTTTTCTAAATTGTTGAGAAAGTTACATGCCCCCGTGATGGACCTTAGAACCATTGTGTCTATATAAGAGCCATATATGTAAGTCATTAAGAGCAAATTATGTCCATTCTCCCCTATGGTGTAATTGTATAATCATTATCAAGATACTTAAGTGTAGGGAGTTTGGAGTTGGCAATAACATCAAGTCCCTGTTATTGCTGAAATTGCCTGTGCAACAGTCTTGACTTCAGGGCAAAAATGATTAACTGTACTTATATGTAATACATTAAAAACGTAACTATGTATTTACTTGTAAAATACAAAATATACCATAATGCATACCAAGAATCTGTAGCATCACGGATATTTAACCTGAGATGGTGTGTCCGAACGCACTTCCTTGTGTACTTTGACAGCTCCCGGAAATAATATCCACATTCGGTTCGACTATTACACCCTCCCCAACACTTCCGGTTATTTTTGGCATCATGGCACTCTACAGACACTGTGAGTATTGATGGTAAAATTATGTAACTTCTATTTTTACCGTGCTTCTGATCTTGGCTACGATGTATTTGAAGGACCGTAGTAAGGTCATACATGTTAAATTAATTATCAGAACTCATAAGTGTAACCTATCACATGGGATGATTGACAGTATGCAACTCGTCCTTATACTTGTGCTCCGAGAGCTCCAAATTTTGTCACCGTTTAATGAGACAGAGCATAAGAGCATGTGCCAGAATCCATGAGATGATTATGATCATTCTAAATATGAATCTGTGGAAATTCTTCTTCCATAATATTATTTACAAATTTGTAGGTCATTTACTAATTTTATAGTGCATTGTGTTCACAAACAAAACAAGAACTCCAGGATCGGTTGATTTGGCATTTATTACACTGGTCATATCAATGTATATTAATAAGCCCTGCAAATGAAACATACATATAGTAAAAGAGCTCGCACACACCGACACACACTTGTCGACATATAGATAAAGGGAGAATACTCTTACAATAAAAAGAGCAAACCAGTTTCCTACCATATAAGACGATCGAAAACAACACAGGCTGTGGTCAATGCAATTTAATTATTAGATAAATACATATTTTACATATTATTTGGTAATATATCTAAACCAGTAATAATTCATCCCACAGTTATGTTGTAGAGGTTGTGGTAAATAAGTGGTAGATATTCCAGAATGATCTGATCTGGTCTGGCCAGAGTCTGTCTTACATAGGGAACAATTGGCAGTTATCTCAGGTCAGTGAATGGCCAGTCTGCAGATGTGTGTAATAACATACATATCAAACTATACACATAGAACACCTCGCACATGAACTCCAATTACTAGTACATTACATGGAAAAACATCAATCGTGATGGGACAGATAAAATGTGCATTATATAAACACCTATATACAGAGCAACAATATTCACAAATTTACACCAAACTTTACTTTATATGTCACTAAATACTTAACATCATATTTCCATGATTAAGAACATTTTTGATGCAAAATACATAAAAGAGACATGCATATATGTAAATGTAGTGTTGGTAAGTATATTGTATTAGTCAAACATCATACCTAAATATTATACATGTACAATTTGTTGTTGACAGAAATGTAATTCTCCTCCTAGGTATTAGCAAAGTGTGTCATCTGATTATTCCTCGTGAGGCAACTAGAAATCTCAGTTCTACATCTGTCACATGTAAACATTTTTATACGGAATGGAAGAAATCAAGATTTGGTGGAGAATGGAGAATAAAGTGAGTACCTGTAGTAAGATGTATTTAAAGTGAATGTAGCAAAAAGAAAAATAAAGAGAAACATTACAATATTTTAATTGAAAAAATAAATGAAATTTAAATGAAAATGCGTAGTAGGAATCATTAAAAGGGAGAGATCTGAATACCAATATAGAGATATTAATTTTGGAGTCTATTGAGGCTCGGTTTTAGGTCCATCTCATTCTGTATAAAGGAAATCTCAGCTTAAATTTTATTGCATTCTTCTTCACTGATGGAACCATTAGGGACCAAATTATGTTATCAAATCCCCTACTGATGGTTTTCATCTTCAACACAGCAAGGACAGATTGTCATCTTGAATGGACACGAGGCATTGGAAATGTCATCCCACCTAGACAAATGTGTGACATCACTGCCGTCACTAACAACTAAAATAAAAACAGAAAAAACTAAATTACATCAGACCTTCATCTTATACAGTAAGAATTAACACCATGTTGATAAAGCAAAATATCTAATTGTGTCATCTTCAATCAAATCGGACATAAAATGGGAATCCCATGAATATGCTATCTGCAGTAAGGCAAACACAAATCTCTGAAGAAATTCTAAAATCAACTCATGTTCTTTCCAAGTTATTTTGTTTACTCTGCTTTTACCAGCAACCGAAAAGGTTGGTATATTTTTAGGGCTCCAGGTTGATTGAGTGTCCAGGGTATGAATTTATTATGGTTTCGGGGTAGGAATTTATTGTGGGCTGGGAAGTTGGAATTTATTACCGGTTAGGGGTAGGGATTAATAATGGGTTAGGGGTAGGAATTCAACATAATCAGAATGAATAGAAGTTCCAGTTAATGTAAAATATGTATGGTAAATCGTTGCTAAACAAACCTAGTGGTTATACTTAACATGTTATTTGTAAATAAATATAGTGATATGGCTAGCTTATCTGTAGTAGTATTGCTAGCATATGTCTTAGAATTATTGAGCTGAATTATCCAATAGTAATGATTATAACTTGGTCTTCACCTGATAACTTTATGTAGAGATTTGTTTGGTTACACAGACAAGGAAAAGCAATGGATGGTCTCACCTATGGCCCTCTCACAGATTTGCCTGATTACACTTATCTAGGTAAGTATGGGAAACTCCACCCACTTTTATGACCCGGTGACATTTGTCGGTACAGTTGTACCCACTGTTGTAAGCAGTTTCACTTGCGGCACAGATTACAGCTTGAAGTTGGCAAGTATGTGGCGTTTTAATAACATGACATGTATCAAGTTTCAGTTTCTTATAAGTTACAATTTTTTACTGAGAAATTTCAATGACTAGTTGACGACAAGAGATAACAGCTGAAATTTGGTATGAAGAATAATACTTAAAACTATAGAACATATGTGATAAAGATTTGTTAAATAACAGTGGAATTTATATTGTATTCATAGATGGAAGACCTACACCACTGAGTAAAGGACAGTTAAGGAGACGAGAAATGAATAAGGAAATGGCGGTGGGTATTTCACACCTTGTACACATTACTCAAATTAAAATTTCGTAAAAAGAGCTGAAGGGCAAGTGACCTTATGCCATGGTGTTCCATTATCTGTACATAACGGTTTCTCTCTCCAGTGTTATTTCCTTACATGCGTCTTCCCAATAACCATGATACTTTGAGTCAGGATATCGTTCAGTGACTTATTTTAGTATAACTAAACGCCTTTAAAGTCTGTCATGACACCTGGCTAGTAGTATGTAAGGATGATTGGCTGCCAAGTTTTTAACAAATGATTAACCTTTTAGCTCATTTTCAATGTCATATGGACCAAGTGTGTTAAAGTCTTCATCATCTGCTCAATATTCAGACAAAAATTTGCACAATTTTGTTACAATATCTGTAGAACCAGTTCAACTTCAACATGCCCTAGTTGTTGTTCATTTTCGTAACAGCTTAAATCAGCCAATGTTTCAACATTCTTATTCCGTATGTATGTCAGTTTAGATCTATCTACCTTAGACAAGTAAATGCATTCTAGGTTAAAGTCCATTGTTACTTTCTGAAATACAAGTCTCAAATTTTGTCATCAATGCAAGTTTACAACTCTATGACATGATACAAAAAAACAGCCTTTATAGATTTCAGGTAACAATTAAGGCCCATGCGCCTCTTATTCAAACCTGGGCATTGCAAAACATAACATATGGAATGCAGTTGATGTGTTAAAGCATACATCTCAAAGATCCTCATTTAATCATTGTTTGTTTTGTATTTTCTTTACAGAAGAATGCTATGAAAATGTTGAAGGAACTTGATTTAACCAAAACAGCTTATATGGAAAAACAACAAAAAAGAAAAGAAAAGAAACGTCAGTCGAAGAATCGAGTAGATATGAAGCCAAAGGGAAAAAAGAAGTATATGAATCAGGAATAATATTTGTGAATAAACATCAGCAGCAAGTACTTGGGGTAAATTACAAACAGTGTTTGGCCTGCACTGACGACTTTGTCCTGGGTAATCATCTGTGATCATGATGTGATTGTAATGTTGTCTTGGGCAACTATTGGTGATTATGATGTCCTTGGTAACCAGTGATCATGCTGTTGCTTTAGGTAACCATTAGCAATTGTGACATTGTTCTGAGTAACCTTTGGTAACTGGGATGTTCTCCCGGGCAACCATCGATCATCATCAAGTTTGTTCACATCATTTTCACTTGTGTGCATTTATTAAAAATCAACATTTGAACATTTCCTTTAGTGTTGTTTATTCTTGTAGAAGAATTGAAATTCAAATACATGGTCAACATGTATATCATAGTATACAGGATGCCACAGATGTACAGCCTGTGAATAATTTCAGATTTTGTGTGAAATTGTGGGAAAACCTGTGTTGTGTATATATTCTTACTTCATGGACAAGTTGATTATGTCAAGTTCCTTGTTGATATGCAAGATACATATCCTGCCTTAGATTTGTACACTATGTAGCCAACATCCTTCACAATGACAGTATTAATAAGTGACAGAAAAAAAAATGAAAAATTCAGCAATGATCCAATAAGTTAACAAGTCTCACAAAATCTTTGCTTACGTGTGACTCTTTTACATTTACATGGTCTCCAGAGGAAGTACAACTCTCTATAAGGTCAACATAATTGTTACTATTAATAATTTTTGTGACCTTCATTAATTGTTTATGGTAGTAAGCTAAAGATGGCCTTGGAGAACTCTGAAACCTTCCTTTCTCAGGTATATGTTATTTCTGATGATACAGTGCTCAAGAAATAGTAATAAATTATTACTGTCAAATTTCAAAATGGTCACCAGTCAGCCATTTTGTTTTTCTGATCAGTCCCAAAATCACACAGGCACAACTAGCGACCAAGGGGAACCTACATATGAAATCTGAAAATTATCCATCCTGTACTTCAAAAGAAATTGTGATCACAAGAATTGTTTAAAGACAGTCAGACTGCATACATTTGGCCTCAGTTCAAAGACATTTAGCTTTAACCAGTGATTAGTGAAAAAACATGAATTAAAAGTATCGGTGAACTTTATCATTTCCCAGATGTAGGTTTGTTAAGACAATTCAGATCGATATATATTTGTACTTAGCAATAATTTTGCTTTTTAAACTAACTGATGGTTAACTCTAACCTTTGAGCAAGCGGGGTTTGATGACAGTGGGATAAAAACGTCTGGGATCAAAGGACATGTTTATTACAGCATTCTGAAGAAATAGCAGCGAAATATAGATAGGACTACAGGTGAAGCTCAGTTTATATCTGATTGTGATGGATTAAAAACAAAAGGTGATAATAAATAAATACCCAACCTCAGGGTATCGGCAAATGTAATTTGAAGAATAGTAATAAGTCTGGAAAACTAGTTTAATCCATTGATGTACATCAAATGAATCTTGCAGTCCCATAATAGTATGTTTTTTCTAGCTTTGAAGTTGAGTGTTTCTCCTTTGTAATCTTCAAAGAGCATATCGGTGAGTGATTTGTCAGTTTTTATCTCCTGATACCTGCTCTTTGCTTGTGCCTTCAATTTTACCAGGAAAAATTCTAGGGATGCAGAGAGTGGAAATACGCACAACCCCTGGAGTATTGAGGATGTGATTCTGTTTTTAAGGGCCTAAAATGATGGCCCATGGAATTTTAGTAACTCAAAAAAAGAACAAAACCCTCAGATTTTGCTGATGAATTTAATACCATAAGTCAATTCATATTAGATTCTGATTTGCACCAGATTTTAGGAAAAGTTTTGAGATGAAACTTCAGGGCGGTACAGGAAGGATATCAAGAAGACTGAGTTTCTGTAATGTTCCCTTCTCAATCATATTCATATCAGGACTGGCAGGCTATAATATCATGTAGAACATCCTGAAGTACACAATTGGAACACTACAATCATACCTTATACAAACATTCTACCCATGAGTGTAGAATTAGGATCAGACCCAAGGCTTAGCGGACACAAATTCTATACTCATGAGCTAAATATCATTTCCAACATACAGATCATAATCAACTCTTTTTTTTTTCTGGGTGTTCTGCTAGATGTTTTGTTAAAACCTATCTTATCAATTAAAATGAAACAGTGAATTCTGAATTATTTCTAAATAACCTTCTAAAGAACATAGACAATGTCTTGTAAGAAAAGAAAAATGTATGACATACCAAAGATTCGGAGAACTACGCAATACCTTCAAACCAACCTTGTGATAATTTCTTCTATTTCAGTGTCAGTTGCTGACAATATGATGACCAACATTTGAGCAGGTCTACCTTTGTGAAGTATAACTGTTATGCAATATTTTTATGAGATACACTTATGTTAAATATGTAGAGATAGGATTGTTTTTTTCTTATCACCAACCTACGCTAACTTACAATCTTTCAGTACAAGGTTTCTGGTCCAATTTTTTGGATTAGGTTATCTCTCTACTGTTTTTTTTAACATTGATTTCAATTCCTGGGATGAAAGAATTTGATTGGAAGGTAATTATGACTGTTTTATCAATTAGAGAAAAAAAGACAATTTACGAATTTTGCAGTTCTTAGAAATATTGATTACTTACACAAGTATGATGAGTAGTGAAACAATAATTAAATGTGCCCTTCCAAAACTAACATGCAAATTCAATATGTATTGGAAAATAATATCAGACTTGATTTAAAGAACGGTGTACAGCATTCAAACGTTTTTGTGTAAAGTGAAAAAAAATGTGTATTTAATACATTGTTGACATAATCAAAGGAATTAAAGTGTGTAATTAAGACAAATGATCCAAAACCAGGTATGTAATACAATGTATTTAATGACTGTCTATCTTTTTACATGTGTGGTCTTTTTTACAAGAACAATTTCTTATCAACATAAAAAGAATTGATTGGAAAATTCATATTTAAGTCACACTGATAATTTCTTATTTCATAATGTGCCTCCTTTACTTTATATCATGGAATTTTGTTTGAACAACACTTAATAAGATTTGATGTCATGAATCCATTCTTCTCTTCCTCTAGCCAAACTTTGGCATAAACCATGAAAGGACCACAACTTGACACCTTATTAATATGTATGTTCCATTGTGGTATGCCACATGGCCCAGTTTAAGTAGGTCACACCACAGAAGTCTGTGTCTGGTTTCTACCATCCCTCTAAAGTCATCCAAACAAGTATCGTTACACTAAATTTAACAGTTGTAGATGTCAAATAATTATAAAAGTTATACCCTAGAATATTGACATACTTAAGTAAGGGCTATAACTCTTTAATTAGCAGAAAATTTGTGATGTGACACATACTTAACAAAGGGCAATAGCTCTTTATTTAGCTGAAAATTTGTGATGTGACACATACTTATCAAAGGGAAATAACTCTTTATTTAGTAGAAAATTTGTGATACCGCCTTTCATCGTGTACTTGAATCAACATCAAACAGTCTCTCTGGTAATACGGAGGGAGACTAATGAAGTCAAATGAATAATTGCTTCCATAAGCTAATATCTGTTATATATATTGCACCAATTTGTGTAGAAGAGAATCATAAAACTACCTTTGTTAGTAAATGCAACTGTTGTGAAACTGATAAATGAAAAAGATGACTGAGCTACTGATTCTACAACTTCAGTGATGAAGTCTGTTGTAGGTCATCCGGTGTATTAACAGTCCTAAAGATTATCTGTGAATTACTACAGTAGTATATTTCGTACCCTTTGAGATTCCTGTAAGGAAGAGTTATACCCCTTTAATAGGATCTTTAATACACCATTTTTATTGCCCTATAATTCTCATGTTCTTAGAATCAACATCTGGTGTTCATTGTATAAAAGGAAAGAAGAACTACATGTTTTTTTTTCAAATAATATAATGCATACCATAACAATTGCCATTAACAACATCGTAAAATGCAAAGTGTTGACAAGATCATTCTGTCACAGAAAAAATAATGGAGTACACAGACCTGGCACATCACATAAGCAGGAAACACTATCATCTTTATATAATGAATCCATATAAATCTTGTAGTACTATGTTAACAAGTAGTACTGAGATTCTGGACTTGGTACAGCAATGGTAGACAATTAACATCAGCAGTGCAGCTGATCCATATACTAAACTATGTTGATATCAAAATTAACTAACCAATAGTATTTCAAGCTTGACTGAGAAGATTTGTTTTTCAAATCTGTGCAAATAGTTTTGTGAAATATAAATTTAATGTATAAAACATATGTAACTAAACAACAAGAATGATGAATTACTCCTTGCATACTATTAACTGCAGTGAGTTTAAGCACTAAGTATGTTACACTGTATGGAGTTCCCTCCAGCATTATAGATTTTACATATTGGTCAAAGCACTTCTCTCATATACACTACACCAAAAGTTAATCCAGTAATGTATATCTTTGTTGTCTTCTAAAAATGGGTCGAAAGGTCAATAAATAAACAGTTCTCTATTATTCACTTTATGTAAGCTTCATCTGGGCAAACTTGGTGGCAATATTGAGCGCCTCCTGGAGGCCACCTGTGTTTGAGCCAGTTGCTTGAGCAGCCAGGTCCTTTCCTCCACACTTCCCCTCAATTACTGGCACAACTTCATTCACCCAGTCCTTGGCATTAAGTCCCTTTGACACTGATGACTGGAAGTAAAAAACAACAATTAAACAAGGGAGAAGAGCCAAATGTTTCTATAATTCCTTTTGTCAAGTGCTTGCCAAACTATTTGTATAGTGTCCAACAGTATCAGCTAATCTAATAAACTAAGCAGTTAGTGATACTCCAGTAATCAATAATGTATACTAACCAATCACAATTAGTGATACTCCAGTAGGCAAAGTATACTAACCAATCACAATTAGTGATACTCCAGTAGGCAAAGTATACTAACCAATCACAATTAGTGATACTCCAGTAGGCAATAAAGTATACTAACCTACCAAACTTGTGAAGCTGGTTACTTTTGTGTCATTCATGTAGAAATTATACTGCTGTATTCATAAAAATCATTTTATGGATGTTTATTCTCTTTTCTCCATGGAATTTATTTTTTGCACATGAATGTAAACTGTATATAATACATATCACATTTATTATCTAGTAATTTGAGTGGGTGAACATAAAAATACTGATATAAATTCAAGGTATTTGTTTACCACAGGACAATGCATCAACAATTGTTTCTATACCTATCAAACCTGGTTTATTAACAGGTAAAGGTTTATTGTCAGACCTGGGCACATTTACAGACTGACTTGTTACCAGACATGGACTTTTCACCAGTCATTGGCGTATTGTCAGACCTGGGCGCATTTACACACTTGGACTTGTTACCAGTCTTGTTTCCAATCATTGGATTATTTTCAGATGTTCCTGTTTTGTTACAATATATGTAGTATTTAACCTGCAATAAGCCCAACTCAAAGTGGGGAAATGGACAATGATACAAGACATCTAGTATTTGTTATTATTGAGGTTATTGAAATTTTATGAATGTGTGTAGGTGTATAACCATTATAACAGCATTGATCCTGGTCACAATAACAATTACATCACATATACCCACCTTAGGAACACAGCTCATACACAAAATCTTGCCAGCATCTTTATCAACAGAGAAAAACATAGCAGAGGTCTCAGGACTGGATGTCTTGTACTGTTTCATGGCAGCATCTAGTGACTGAAGACAAAGGCAGAATGTTATATATACAGAAACCTGATTCTAGATTTGTGATTTTGTGTGTGAAATTATAAAACTGAAGATTGATCTGTACTGACTGATTTTACAAGGATAAATATCTATTATGCTGTTGAATAAGGAAGAGTAATTATCTTTGAAAAACCATCAAAATAAAGAATGGGGTCAACAAAGGGCCATTATCCTGGATAGATTTACCTAAAGGACACAATTTTGATGACTGTCAAATTTAAGATCCCAATTCGTTCCATCATAATAACATGTCTCAACACTGGGAAAAATTAAAAAAAAAAACGTAAAATAAATCCAATGTTTGATATACATGGACAGAGTGAACAAAGGGTCAAAACTTTTTTACATCATGGAATCCGAGACTCAAACTTTTACAAGGAATATCGGACAAAGTGTTGGGATCTTCCCTTCCTATGGTGGGCGTTAATCAAGATTTAATATATAGTGCTGAGAACAAACACTTCATAAGGAATATTCACCTTTGCATTAGATCCAGCCTTAAATTCATGTACAACAAATGACTGGTTTGGGTTGGCTTCGATCATTTTCTTTGTTTGTTCTACAACCTAAAAAAGTAAAAGTATTGTTATTACAATAAAGACTACGTAATAGATTATGTGCAGTAAGAGATGTGTTTGTTAATCTGGTGTTTTCAGAATCTAAATCATACACTGATCAATTAATGAAATATTTGTTTCGTTTTGTAACACTTTCTTTTCTTGTGGTGAAAAAACATCAATGACAGTTCATTACTATACACTCAACACATCAAACTATCATCATCAGTACCTCAGCAGTAATGGCAGCCTTCCTTGCTTTATCAAGCTCATCCAGTTTGCCCTTTAGCTGTTTTAGATCAGCCCTGAGTCGATCCCTCTGCCAGTAAGGTATCACAGATTTGGTGATTTCCTGTGAATGAGTAAATTTTGATCTATTCTTACTGTACCAGACACATTATTTGTCCCCTTTAAGACAATGATAAAACAAAAGATAAAATTGAAACAATAAAAAATCATGAGTTACACTAATGAAATTGACCTTTCATATCTCATAAAGCACTTCAGTTGATGACATCAATTATATCTAAACTTTTATTTGGATTATAAAATATTTTTAACAATTAAAAATTTGTGTAGGTCTACAAGGTAAAGTTTGTTATATTGATATAATCTCACAGAATTGGTACAAAAAAATAGTAGATACATTTTGGTAACCAGAAAAATATGGCATAGCATATATTTATAGTTTTATGTCATGAAAGAGCCCTAAACGCACTTATCTATTACGAAAACTTACATTCTCAATCTATAAAACAAATAAATCCAGATTCTATACAATATTTACATCATCCATCTGTACAATATTTACATCATCCATCTGTACAATATTTACATCATCAATCTGTACAACACTTACATCATCCATCTGTACAATCATCTTGATGAGTTCTTTCTCGGACAGTTCCTTGGTCTGAAGACATGTTTCAAACTTCTCTGACAGATTCTTCACATTCTTATCTAGTAGATCTGTCCTGTGGAGGGCCTGTGATATACAAAAGAGTATAAAGGTCACACACAAACTGGCCCTAAATAACAAAGATTCCATAGTGAATAGTGAACTCATCCAATATTACAAAATTTACAGTAGGGAATTGACACATCTATCAACTTACGGTAGGTAAGTGACACACCTATCAACCTTTATGGTAGGTAAGTGACACACCTATTAACCTTTAGAGTAGGTAAGTGACACACTTAGCAACCTTTACTGTTAGAAACTGACACACTTAGCAACCTTTACAGTTGGAAAGTGACACCCCTACCAACCTTTACAGTAGAGAAGTGACCCTAACAGTTTGATCTTAACCTGGAGAAAAATCAAAGAAGCAGATCTACCCTAACAGCTTGACCATTAACATAACATAGATTATGGAGACAGACCCTAACATATTGACCTTTAACCTAATATTAATTAGAGTAGCTACCATACCCTGGTGGCTTCAGCGCCTGTTACTGCTATGATCCTCCTGCTGCCTTTAGCAATGGCCTCTTCTGTTACTATAACAAACTTTCCTACATGGCCTGATCTACGTAAATGACTGAAAAGTAAAATTAAGACATTAATAACCGAGATAAGCTCAGCATTATTATATCCATCAAAATACACCAAAATCCTAATCAGTTTACTCGGAACCATATCCATATAGCTGATAAAGATACAGAATTTTCTTGAAAAAGTTACTGAGTTATGTAAACATAAATATTTCATCTCTGAAAACAAACACACGCTCAAAATAATAATTCATGTCACACAGTATCAAAATATCAAAACATGACCTTGAACATGAACAATTTAAAGGTAGTGTTACTTACGTGCCACCACAGAACTCGACTGAGGTTAAGGAGGCAGCAGGTCCCATTGGGTCACTAACTAATGTCTCAACTGGTACTCCTATAGACAATACACGCACTGGGTCTGGGTATGTCTGTCAACAGAGGAAACTCAATTTACTTTTAAGAAACTTGATCATTAGTTATGAATTAATAGAAACTTTCACTCTCTAGCGGATGAGTCTGACTCCAAACTAAGGAGAAAATTCTTAAAGTTGCCAAACATTAGGGCTTGCCAATTAAATCATCATCTTTGAGAACACCCTATCTTAACTTTAGAGAGAAAGGTGATTATTTTCTCCTACATTTTGGGGATTCTATACATGTAATGTGACATATTCCCTTAGACAGTCTGTACAGCCTGGAGGTCTTCAACAGACACATCATTCACTAAATACAACCTGTAGGCAGCAAATAAACACATTCCTCTAAAAACAGCCTTAAGGCCTTCAATGGAATGGACACAATTCCAGCAATTCACCCTGGAGGCCTTTAACAGTTACAAATTCCCATAATCCCCCGACGGACAAATATTTTCATAAATACACCTCGGAGGCCTTCAACTGATATACATTCCCCGAAACACTGCCTGGAGGCCATTAATAGACACACATTCCAAAGGTAAAGTCTTGAGGCCTTCTATGGACACATATTCCCCTTGATACAGCTGGAGGCCGTCAATGGATACATACCTCATCAAACACAGCTCTTAGTCCCTGTATTGACTTTGCAACAGGTAAACTGGTCTCCTTGGCATAAACTTCCTCATTTTTTTCTGCCATTACATTTACAATCTGCTCTGCTTCCTTCACCTGACCTGGCGTCATTGCTTTCTGTAAAACAAATTCAACAGTCACTTTCAACAGACACAATTTCCATTAGAGTATCAAAAACTTGTTAAAGAATAACTTCAGTGATTATCTTGTCTGTACAAACCTATAATATACCATTGCCTTCAAGGAAATGATCAGAGTTATCTAAATGTTTATAATAATTGGACAGTGATAAATCTATGTGCAAGTCCTGTACTCATAGAATTTTGATGGAATTCATAGATTTTTTGAAAAAGACTTTAATTTGACATTGTGGGACCCTTTGTTATTTAGAAGAAAAGGACCCATAAAAATAAATTGTAGATTGATCACTTATTGACTCTACAATCAAAACCTACATCTTTCGACATAACGGTATACTGTAAATAGCCAAGAGGACCAACACAACGTCTGTGTAGGGAGGTGGGCTTATCAAGGACATTGACATTACATTCTGTGACATCTCAAAAGAAACTGTAATAGAATGGGCTTATTACCTGGCATGTGTGTTGCAATATAAATAGGTAGCTTACCTTGGCTGTGAAGTCAAACCGTAGTCTATCAGGGGCAACCAAGGACCCTTTCTGGTCAGCAACCTTCAAAACTGATCGGAGGGCAAAGTTCAACATGTGCGTGCCTGTATGGTTTTTCATCACAGCAACTCTGTGACTCTAAAAACAGTGTAGAAAAAGACAGGAAGTGATCATGAAATTAATGTTTTATCATAAAGAAATGCTAAAGCATTGTTAACACTTTAGGCATTATTTCTCTAAAAAGAAAAAAAAATCCTTATACAATTACTGTTACGCAACAAATTTACCGTAGTTGTAGTAGATTACATACCTCATCAATAGAGAGCTGGACGGTATCGCCAACCCGCAGCGTCCCCTCAATTACACCTATGTGAAGCACATAACCTCCTCGCACCTGGACATTCCTTACTTGAAATTCAGTATCCTGGAACATTAAAATCAACATTAAGAAAAACATGCTGGAGTTAAATGTAATTTGCAGAACTAGAATAGGAACCATGATTACCAATGCTAAAAAATGGCTGCCATTGCTTCATCACAAATTTTAATTGTGCCACAAAAACACCATTATTTTTACAACGTTCTTTCCTAAAAGCATTCCTCCCAAGTTTCTACTAAATTGCACCAATGGAACAGGAGAAGAAATTTAAAATTTATTTTCCAAGAAAATGGCCATGATGGCCATCTTAAATTTCAGACCAACCTGAAAAATACCAACACTTGGTTTGGACTATCACAAGATTAGTTCTCTAGGGAAAGTTTGAGCTACATCCTACTGGAGAAACATGGAAGAAGTTGTAAATATGAAATGTGAATGCATGGCACATCTAACACATTCTTACCCTGAATATTTGTGTAGTAGGTCATCAGATAGTCTTAAACAATATGGATCAATCTACATTATTTCTAATTACCTGTCCTGCTTTTATTTTCCAATTTTCTTATGAAGTTTCAGAAAATCATTTTGCCCAAGATTACAAGTGAAATTTTCAGAACAGGAAACATAAACAAAGATGAAGAGTTTGTTGCAAGGGATTTTTCTTTATCATAAAATATATTTTCACACTTTCTTTGTATTGTGTCAAACCGTAATATTTAGCATTACTAGATGTGTAAGAGACACAAATGCTCTGGCTCACAATCAAGCAACCAAGGAGAATTTGGAACATATTAGTTTAGTGGCTTTGTTGAATGGTGTTCCAGTGAACGGTGGTAAAAAATTTAAAATGAAATTTAATTTCTGCCCATACAACAACGGCAAAGAATCTAAAATAAACGTTGTCTGCAGATTCTTTAAAAAAAAAATTCATGTGAGTTAGGCAATGCTTGAAAACATTGGTCTTCACATTTTTGTGAAAATTTCAATCAAAATTCCTAAAGCTAAATGTCCATTAATAAATAAATTTTGAATAACTTATTTCCAGGCCAAATTAGGAAAAATTAAGAGTTAATTTCTAATGCAGGAGGGATCTCTTTCCGTAATTCTTTGTCTTTCATTCTCCTGAATAATGATCAGAATCTATCTCCCCAACAAGAGCCTTACATCTTCATTCTCTTTGACTAGGAACCCCTGATCATATATCTGTCCACCCTGTTCAGCATAGAAGCATGTCTTGTCCAGAAGAACACCACATTCTCTGCCAGATTTCACTTCATCCACAAACTGTTTACTGTGACGAAGAGCCAAAACTTTTGCTGTAGTCGATTCAAAGTCTGAAACAAAAAACCAGTGTCATCTTACCATCTGAATTGAAATGATAAACTTGCATAATGACAGGATTTAATGAAATGATAAACTTGCAAAATGACAGGATTTACACTATATATGGAAATGTTCAATCACTGAATTGTTTTAAAAGTCAATTGACTAAACATGAATTACTGATTTAGGAGCTGAAATGTAGCAATTACACATGTACACATATATTCTAATTAATTAACTTCCATTAAGATACACACCATGTCTGATACAGAATGATGTACCTACCATAGTTTCCCTCCCCATCTGCAGTGTAGTTATACTTGGGTGAATCATCTGTGGGGGACAGACCCTTCTTCTGGAGATCACTGATGGCATACACATCCAGATTGATCTGGTCATCGACTGTACTTCCTGATCCCTGAGACATCAGCTGTAGGACAAACCACAAAAAAGACGTTCACATCAGGGTAGGATACTGTCCTGACTTGCTCAATGACACTCTACCATGACTCGTTCAAAATTACAGGCTCTTAGCTCATGATAGATTAAAATGACCAGAATAAAATGTCAATTCTAACATCTGAAACACAAAAAGCCCTGTTTGTATCTCTAACAGGCATATACATGTGTATCAACATAAAAATAAATAATCTTCAAAATGAGGTATAGATCCCATCTGTAATGCTACAAAAGTAACCACAGTACCCAGAAAATGTCCAAATATTGAACTTAGTTCCATCATTACCTCTATGTAGTAGTATTAACAAAATCCTTCAATTATTGTTCGACAGAGACAGGTCTGGTGACATAAAAGTGATCTAAATAAAATCAGTTGATACCTATTTCCTGAGTAATTGACATATTGTTTCCTGAGTAATTGACATATTGTTTCCTGAGTAATTGACATATTGTTTCCTGAGTAATTGACATATTGTTTCCTGAGTAATTGACATATTGTTTCCTGAGTAATTGACATATTGTTTCCTGAGTAATTGATATATTGTTTCCTGAGTAATTGATATATTGTTTCCTGAGTAATTGACATACTGTTTCCTGAGTAATTGACATACTGTTTCCTGAGTAATTGATATATTGTTTCCTGAGTAATTGACATATTGTTTACATTCTTTCAAATCTGGTTGTTATTAATTCCTTCAGCATATTAACACCATGTAATACAAAAAATTCCACTTAAATAAAACAGATAAAAACAATTCAAACCTGAGCTGCCTTTTTACACTCCTCAAATGCAGACATGTCAACCAGTAGACCTTTCTCCTCTGCCATCAACTGTGTCAAATCCACAGGGAATCCATAGGTATCATACAGTCGCCAAGCAATCTCACCTGTTACCAAACACAACATTGGCAATTAATATATGTATCGTACAGTCTCCAGGCGATCTCCCCTGTTAACAAACACAACATTGGCCAGTAATATACATAACATAAGTCTCCAGGCAATCTCCCCTGTTACCAAACACAACATTGGCAATTACTATACGTATCGTACAGTCTCCAGGAGATCTCCCCTGTTACCAAACACAACATTGGCCAGTAATATATATATTACAGTCTCCTGGCGATGATATATTGTTACCAAACACAACATTGGCCAGTAATATACGTATCGTACAGTCTCCAGGCGATCTCCCCTGTTACCAAACACAACATTGGCAATTAATATACGTATCGTACAGTCTCCAGGCAATCTCCCCTGTTACCAAACACAACATTGGTCATTACTATACGTATCATACAGTCTCCAAGCAATCTCCCCTGTTACCAAACACAACATTGGCAATTAATATACGTATCGTACAGTCTCCAGGCAATCTCCCCTGTTACCAAACACAACATTGGTCAGTAATATACGTAACATACTGTCTCCAGGCAATCTCCTCGGTTACCAAACACAACATTGTCATTACTATACGTATCATACAGTCTCCAGGCAATCTCCCCTGTTACCAAACACAACATTGGTCATTACTATACGTATCATACAGTCTCCAGGCAATCTCCCCTGTAACCAAACACAACATTGGTCATTACTATAAGTATCATACAGTCAAGAAGCACAAAACAAAACACTGACCAGTATTATTGGTACATAGGTACTGCACAGTCATCATGCAATATTTGCTGATTCCAAACAGAATGGCCATTATCATTGGTTTTAGAATGAAATCCTCACTTCATTACCAAATTACCATTTATAGTCCATCTGATATAATACCTCCAACAAATCTAAAATATTATCATGGACCTTACTCTTTCATTTTTTCATCAAGAAAATAAACATTTTTGTGATTAAAACAACTAGAGATGGTCTGTGTGTTTGTTTGTTTGCACATTTGTGTCACCCAGTGAACAGTCAGGATCACCTTGAGGCAGTGTCACCTTGTAGTAATAGGTGGCTACCTCACTAAAATTCAGAGTAACTTGCCAAGGGTAAAGTGTTTGCCAAAGAACATGGAAAGTGCCTCCTTACCATCCTTTCCATAAAGTAACAAAGTATACCTTAAGAAATGATATCAAAACAAAACACAATTAGAAAATTTTCATGTCATGGGTATTGAGAAAACACAATCAACATTACTTCCTTCTCATCTAATGGCCTTGAATCTACATCATCTCTGCTATCATCTGACCTTTAATCTACATCATCTCTGCTATCATCTGACCTTTAATCTACATCATCTCTGTTATCATCTGACCTTTAATCTACATCATCTCTGCTATCATCTGACCTTTAATCTACATCATCTCTGTTATCATCTGACCTTTAACCTACATCATTTCTCTGTTATCATCTGACCTTTAATCTACATCATTTCTCTGTTATCATCTGACCTTTAATCTACATCATCTCTGTTATCATCTGACCTTTAATCTACATCATCTCTGTTATCATCTGACCTTTAATCTACATCATCTCTGTTATCATCTGACCTTTAATCTACATCATCTCTGTTATCATCTGACCTTTAACCTACATCATCTCTGTTATCATCTGACCTTTAATCTACATCATCTCTGTTATCATCTGACCTTTAATCTACATCATCTCTGTTATCATCTGACCTTTAATCTACATCATCTCTGTTATCATCTGACCTTTAATCTACATCATCTCTGTTATCATCTGACCTTTAATCTACATCATCTCTGTTATCATCTGACCTTTAATCTACATCATTTCTCTGTTATCATCTGACCTTTAATCTACATCATCTCTGTTATCATCTGACCTTTAACCTACATCATTTCTCTGTAATCATCTGACCTTTAACCTACATCATCTGTTATCATCAGACCTTTAACCTACATCATTTCTCTGTAATCATTTGACCTTTAACCTACATCATTTCTCTGTTATCTTCTGACCTTTAACATACATCATTTCTCTGTTATCATCTGACCTTTAAACTACATCATTTCTCTGTTATCATCTGACCTTTCACCTACATCATCTCTGTTATCATCTGACCTTTAACCTACATAATTTCTCTGTTATCATCTGACCTTTAATCTATCATCTGTTATCATCTGATTTCTCTATTATCATCTAACCTTTAACCTACATCATCTCTGTTATCATCAGACCTTTAACCTACATCATTTCTCTGTAATCACTTGACCTTTAACCTCCATCATTTCTCTGTTATCATCTGACCTTTAACCTACATCATTTCTCTGTTATCATCTGACCTTTAACCTACATCATTTCTCTGTTATCATCTGACCTTTAACCTACATCATTTCTCTGTTATCATCTGACCTTTAACCTACATCATTTCTCTGTTATCATCTGACCTTTAACCTACATCATTTCTCTGTTATCATCTGACCTTTAACCTCCATCATTTCTCTGTTATCATCTGACCTTTAATCTACATCATTTCTCATCATTTCTCTGTTATCATCTGACCATTAACCTTTAACCTATCATCAGACCTTTTTCTCTGTTATCATCTGACCTTTAACCTACATCATTTCTCTGTTATCATCTGACCTTTAACCTACATCATTTCTCTGTTATCATCTGACCTTTAACCTACATAATTTCTCTGTTATCATCTGACCTTTAACCTACATCATTTCTCTTGCATCTTTTAATCTTGAACCTTTATATCATTTTCTGACTCAATACCAATATAACCTAAGAAGACAAGGCTATCTAGAAGATAACACACCTGGTAAAGTTGTGGTATCACCAAGCTTGCCTATGGTTCTCTCTAACAGACGTCGACCACGGGACAAGGTCTTCAGGAACTGCTGCTCCTCCTCATTAATTATATTTTTTATCTGAAAGTACATTATCATGCCATTAATCCAACAAGTTAATATATGTTGCATCATTTATTATTCAAATCATTACTGGATTAGCTAATTCCAAATATCAAAATTGTAATATTTCTGACAGCCATTGGCAGTTTCATCATCAATTCTAAAAATAAGAAATGTAAGTATGGATTTAAAAAAAAAAACAATACTGAAGACAATAACCTAGAAAAATTGACGTACATCATGAATATAATTATCTGAAGAGCAGTGTTTTCAGGTTTTTAAAAAATATTTCTCCAAGTAGAAATGTTTACAAAGAATTCTATATTTTTAGGTCTTTAACCAGATTTCAGTGGGGTCTCTAAACCGTAATATGCTTAATTGACTGAAACAAATTACTTATAACCAAAATTGGAAGGTTTACATTGTGGCAGTGTATCGTAATTCTCAGCATATTTTACAATCTATAATAATTTTAAAAAAATACCAAGGAACATACAAACTTTAAACTTTGAGTTATATAATACTTGTCCAATCCAAGGTCATATAATCTCAATATCAGGTGTCAACATCACTATTTACATCAGAAATATAAACAGTAACTTTAACTGTGACTAAAAACACTTACATATAAAGTAAACACACTTGCTATGGCAATACAGTATAAACTGTGATAGTTTTCTGGACAATGGCATTTTTGAAATATAGTAGGAATTCCCCTGATAAAGTATATTGTACTTGAAAGTCATGACATAACAGAAACCCCAAAGACAATGTAGCAGAGCAGGCTATCTGATAATACAATTATTTTGGCTTGGAGATGCAATCTAAATGAATGGGCAAATTACTATACAAAACCATTACACTCAGGTCATCTTGTAAATTACTATACAAAACCATTACACTCAGGTCATCTTGTAAATTACTATACAAAGTCATTACCTCTTCTGGATCCTTTGTAACTTCAGGGAAAGCATCTCCCTAGAAACAAAAAAAAACCCATTTATTCTTATCTTACTCTTCACATGCATTATAAACAATAACAATTTCAAATCAAATACTATGAACCTCATGTATTTTTAGACATGTTTTCAGACATATGAATATTTAGAAATAATTACTGATTAATCACACTTAACTAAAGATAACTTTCATTTTTTAAATTAATTTAGAACATACTTACCCCATTTAATCTATTAATTTGTATTATTGTGAAATCTGTTTAATCTGACATCAGAATTTTCTGATATTCTGTCCATTCTGATGTTCTGATATTATCCAGTTTCTGATAAGCATTACTACCAAGGTATATAGGATCTGAGTAATCAGACAGTCTAACCTGACATATCACCCCATTTCTAATGGATATTTCTATAAAGGTCATAAGTATTCTGACAGACTGTTTAGCCTGGCATGGTATCCTTCAGTTTGTCCGTCACATTAGACAATTGTTGATGTACAATGCAGCGCCACTGCTGGTATAGATAAAACCAAGAAATACAGCAATGCCACTAAAAACAAAGGCATTACAGGATTATGATGACAGCTGTTATAAGAACACAAAGAAAGACATATCAACAGAATCTTCACTGATGATGAAATGAGGACAAAATAAGAACAAAAGGGAAATTTACACAGTCTCCTAGGAATCCTCAACCCACAGCTTTTGGTGTCAATGACTCCTACTTTTATGGCTATCAGGAACTGTTTCTGTATTTGTTTACTAGATTTCCTGGGTTTACTGTCCTGCCATCTTAAGGTGTGATCACCTTGCGTTAGCTACTGGATAACATGTCAGAGACTCACCACATAGTATTTAAAGTAATATGAAGCAAGTATCTAGTTCAATGACACAACTATATCAGCACAAGAACAAGACATCAGCATCCTCAGGTACACACACTGCCTTCAGTAATACTTACCAACAATACCACCACCGTGTCTATGAGGGAGGCAAACATGCCTGGTTTTGCACCAAGTTTTTCTGTAGCATATCTGACAGCTCTCCTCAAAATTCTTCTTAAAACATACCTGTAGGGAAAAATTTTAAAATTATTTAATTTTTGTGAAGCCATAAAGTGTTTTAGGGTTGGCGGTAAAATTTGGGGTCAGGAAGGAAGCAGGAAACACATATATTTTACTTTGACTTATTGAAAATAAACACAATCTGACGACTTAAGTTTACATTTCAGGATTTAAAATATCATCATGTCTAATCAAATTATAAAGGTGTTTTCCTGACTTATTACTGATATATTTAGAATGTATCTATACTCTGTCAATATAATCCAGATTATCATTGAATAAATGCAAAATGTAATCATTCATTTTCTTTCAGGATACAGCAAAGAGCATTACCTGATAAGAAGGAAATGCAAAAATTTTATTGAAAACTGTCTTTTCTCCATCAGACAGTTAAATGAGTACCCACCCCCTGCCTACATTGTCAGGTCTACCTCCATCTGACAAGGCAATAGTAATTGTACGAGCATGGTCTGCAAGCACCCTGTAGGCCATATCTATGCCATCAACATCTTCCTTACCCACATGACCAGTATATGAACGGGCTCCAGTGGCCTGTAATTACAGAAACCAAACATTTATCAAAACTTGTCTCTAGTCAGGTGGCATGGTGATAACACAATGCCTTTCATCTTGATGACTAGGGTTTGATCGGACATGAAAAATTCAATTTTCACCTGCCCAAACACATAGGTTTTTTTCCGTGTTCTGGATTCCTCCTACAGTAAGACACCTTGCACACTTCAATACTGAATAAGATTGAATTATATAAACTGCAAGCTAGTTTGCAATCATTATAAAAATAAATAGTTATTTATTCATATATCTGTCAATTTATAAGTGATTCCATTCAGTCTGCTCAGTCCCGAAAAAAAAGAAGGGCACAACTAGGGGCCCAAGGGAACCAACAAATAAAGTTTAAGCAATATCTAAGAAGTACCTGTCAAGAAATGGTGATAAAAAAACTTTCTCTGTCAAAGTGCAAGATAGCTGCCTGACAATCCTTTTTTTTTGAGGTGTCAATCCAAAATTTAAAAGTGTTGTCCATATCATGAAAGGATTCTTTACCTTTTGGATGGCATCAAAGATTGGCATGAAGAGGTCTGTGTCATAGTTGGAAGTCTTGCCCTGCATTATAGACACCAACCTTTCTAGTCCCATACCACAATCACAATGCTTGTTGGGCAATTCACGTAGTGTTCCGTCTGGATCTCTGAACAAACCGAAACTTCAATTATCATATTTGTTAATGTGTCTCTCAATGATCTGAATAATGTTAGAACTAAAAGACCTATTATCTATCTCAATGATACTGTTTGGGAATGTGAGTCCCAAGGGTCTCAATGTCGCTTTTATTTTGTTTATATTCTTCCAAGAAATCAGCAAACTTGAGTTTGAAAATCAAAGTCCTCCTATCCTCATAGTTTGTTATTTTAAAACTTGTCTGAGAAACAAGGAACAAACTTTGAATAGCCTATGATGAGAATGTGTAATGTTTCAGGTTGAACAATAACTATTTTGAATATGATACATATAGGAATTCAAAATATACAAAATTTTGCTATGGATTTTCATAAAATAACATAATTCATGGAATAATTAATAATGAATAAGGAAACCAGTCAATGGGCAGTAATACACACCCCCTAAACTTTATTTAGATTAACTAAAAAAAGACAAAAAAATACAGTGCCAGAGAGCAGTGTTAACATAGTTATTTCTTATATGGATGCAAACATCTTGGCCCAGAATCTTTCTAAAAACAAATGAAACATTTTCTGATCTCAGTACGCCTGTCTAACTTCTTTGTTGTTGTAAAGTGTAGAAACCCATGCAAACCTGTTAAACTGTGTGAAGACAAGATTCCACACTTCCAGAACATCAGGATCATCAATGTTGACAAGGTGCTTGGCATCACGACCACCGATTCTGTCAAAGTGGATCTCTGTACATGGTCCACAGGGCCCTGTCTCGCCCATCTCCCAGAAGTTGTCACCCATGCCAAATGGAAGTACCCGTTCTTCAGAAACCCTAAGGAAGATATAAAATATCTGGTTTTGTAGGATGACCATAAATTAGCTTCATATTTAGATCAACTTATAAAAGAGTCTTCTAATATGAAGAAAGCAATAAAACATATGTTGATATTACTGTATCTAAAGTCAACACCTTTTAATAAGGCTCACTCAGGCCTACTGTTTTATTCAGCAAGATGAATTCTTAGGAATCTAATATACAGATCAACTGACTTGTCACACCTGTAAACACTGAATTCCAAATCCCGACTTCCCTACCCCGGCAAATCTATGCATTAGCAAAGCAAACAAATTAAATTTAGATACATACCCCAAGTTTATCCATATGTCCCGAGTGTCATTATCTGGGGCAAGTCCCATCGCCTCATTACCACCAAAGTAGGTCACATATAGCCTGTCCTTGGGCATCTTAATTACATCCACTAACAGCTCCCAGGCAAAGGCACAGCAATCTTTCTGTAAATCAGGTTATAAAGCATCCTTATTTTCAAAATCATCCCATTAAAACAGACAAAATATGAAGAGAAAAAGTCTCTTTATATATATTTGTACAAACATAAAGATATATTCTCTAGTTTACTTTTCAGGTGGATCGAGAAGCATGAAATTTAATACTTGTGAACTCTTCACAAACAGATACAAATATGATATATTCGCTATGCAAAATTCAACAAGTATTTGTAAAAACCGAAATAAGATTTCACTAATTTAAGTGAGTTAACTCAATTTAATCAAGAATTATACAGCAAGACTTGGAGTAGCAACTTATGCAATAAGTCTGGCAATTTGAATGTATTACAATCAATTCAACATCCAATATTCACCTTAATAAGTAGCTGCGTAATAAATATTTAACAGTTGTGAACAAATTTATAAACCATGAAAGAATTGAATTTTCAGTGGGGAAATGATAGTGTAATTAAATTGTTGAAATATATGTCTGCAATTACTCCAAATTAAAAGTATACCTTGAAGTAGTCACCAAACGACCAGTTCCCCAACATTTCAAAGAAAGTATGATGGTATACATCCTTGCCAACATCGTCCAGGTCATTGTGTTTACCTCCAGCACGGATACATTTCTGGGAGTTGACCACTCGCACATACTTAGCCATGTCACTGTTAGGATCAACTGTACCCAGAAATATGGGTTTAAACTAAAACAAGAAGTGAAATCATGTATAAGGATATTAATATACTTATTAAAGACACTGTATATAACAGGCTAGCAATGAAATATGTTGAAACGAAATTCTGCAATTTTTCCTTCATTTTATTAGTTGTCCGAGGCTTGATAAATGTCTTGCTAAACTAAATCTATATATGTGTTACAGTATGTGTAATTTTGAACATCATGGAGAGACGTGCATCTACCTATATACTTGTCAAATAGGCTGCATCATTCAAGCTTTTATTGCATATGTCATCAATACTGGACGTGACACCAAATCTACTGCTGCATCATATGCAGACAGCAACATCTCTCATTCTTTCTGTCAACATTTCAAGTAGAGGTCCCAGACAGGAGAAGAGCACTAAAGGGATGACAGATGAATGACTTGTAAGCCTGCTATATATCTAGCCTCTATCATTATCCTGGAAATGATTGTTACATTTCATACAAGAAAGTCGACAGTTTATTTCTTTAAACTTAAAATGTTGTGATTATGAGACTCTCATTGCTGGTTCTGATTTAGTTTATTTGTGACCAAAAACTCCTTACCTTTCTATTTGTCACTAACAGATTTCAGAGTTTTTGGTACATGTCTAGAACATGGCAAACATTTAAACAATCCTCCTTCAGGAAAAGACTATCAAAATGTAAGACTAAATAATATGGATTGAACCAGACTTTTTATTTTTTCTTATAATTATACATATCTGTATATATATTCTTTTTGTTGGGGGGAGGGATTTGGGTTCTCTTAAATAATACATAAATATTGGATTCCCACCAAATATGGCATATTATACATCTTCACTATTACAACTGTTACATATGATGATATATTTATCCTGTATGCATTTAAATCAATCAGGTAACATATGTTACTGTTTAATGTACACTAATGATTACCTGGTTCATGCCTGCATTGGCAAACAGCAGTGTTGGGTCATCCAGTGGAATGGTTGAGGAGGAATGCACATAGATGTGCTGCTGTTCCTTGAAATAGTCTATAAAAATTTGGCGCACCTGGTTACCAGTCAACGAGGCGTCCATCTTTATTTTCCTTTCCTTAGTTTATAACCTGTACAAGAGAAAGTCTTGTATGCTACATTTGTAAATCTTATGCATTATTTCTTATGTTGTTCATGTTAGCCATCAAATTACACATGTAATTATAATTGTACTTGTAAAGCCTAATTGAAATTTATATAATATTCTGTTAATTTAAAAAAATGTTAAATAACTAAAAAATATTTACCTGTACCTAACTCAAACAATTTTTTTTCATCATATTTCATCAATCCACAATATTACATATTCATTAGTAAGCTGATATTAGATGGGTTGATAATGTTGATAATATTACCTCTTCTGCATTCGACAGTTATTTAAGAATAAAATTACACTCGACTGTCTATAAAAAGGAATCGAATTACATTAGAAAATGAATTCACTTAAAACAGTGTTACTACATATGCTGTATGATAAATGATGCAAACAACTATATATATATACACGGTACTAGCACCACAGTTTGCGTATGATGCAACTTTTACTGTGTTATCGAAACTCCAATCATGAACCAAGGAAAGTATGTGTCCGAGCAAAATTTCATAATTCTGAGTGAAATTTCACATTGTTCACAAAGAACACTTACAATAATAAAAAGTATCAAAAATGGTCACGTATAGTTATGATTTGGTCCAAGTTCGCGGGACAGCTGTCCAACGTGCTTCCTTTTGTGTAACGGCAAATTTAACACCTAGTATTTTACTCCGGTGATTTGTACATTCAAAATATAAAACACTATTACGATTTTCTATAATTTGTTGGTACAGCAATCGTTATTTATTTCATCAGAGACGTATATAACACACTTTTTGTTATATTCGTCTCTGATTTGATAAAACAGTTTTTTTTAAATGTTCCACAACACTAGTCATCCAACTAGAGGGTTTTTTTTCTAAACGCACCGTATGTGTTCATCATCACTGTAGTTGATACATATTTATTTATTTAACTAGGATCCTTTTTAATGACTTCTAGATAATAGTATATTTATTTTTTGCTTGTTTTGAATTGGCATTTAATACTAATTTTTTTCGGTAACTGCATAGGGTCTTTTTTTCAAACGTAAGTGCGACTTAACTCCCTTTGGAAAAAAATCTTCGGATCTTGTAAACGTTTGTTCGGAAAGTAACTCTGGCTTGAAGAGAAAGGTATTTTACAACAATGATTACATTTCCGCTGAAATGTGTTGTCAAAAGCTGTCATGCCCATCTCTAAAACATTTTGTGAAGGTGACTAGCTAACCGGTGATTTACTGCATTTTCGTCCCCTTCAGCTCAAACTGACAATACCGAGTACGTATCAGTCTCACTCATTTGCTATTTTATAGTTGGCTCGAATTCGATCAGTTAGGACTGTCATAGTCATTGAACAGTGATTGATAAAGTTTGATGTCAAGCTAAAGAATAACCTACAGCCGATATGCATGGCAGTAGGTGATGATCATATCCCCAGTTGAGCTGATACATTAGAGCTTGAAGTTCCAGTACATTCTCTGATTCCAGGTAAATCATAATAATCTTCCTTTCAACCCTTGTAGCCATGGACGTATAGAAGAGAAATTGGATTCAACAAACCTTGTAATTGTATACTAACTAATATTGAAACCTGAATATTTTTCATATTGAGCATACCTACTTTTGTGAAGTAATAGTTTCTATTAACGTTTGATACATTTTAATGAAACCCAGGCTATGGTGACGAGAAATATTGCCATGTATTTTAGACACGTACCACTCATAGCCCATAATATGCAAAAAATATTTTCTTTATCACTGGTATTGAAAAACTGATTAATTTTAATTGACACACATATTTTATGATTAATCACACTAATTATATGTATTATTTTGAACATGGGCTTCAATTCCCATTGACTGACAAAATTACTCTGGTCAGGCTGTTCATTGCTAATTTGATACTTATAATTTATTACAGCCTATAAGTGCATGGGGCTCAGGTAGCTATAGATAAGATTAAGATAACAATCAATAGAGGAGAGGGAGGTTTGATAACTTCATGGCATAGTGAACAAACAAAAGCTAATACCTGATAAGCCTCCTGCACTATAAGTTATCCCGCTCGTAAATCATAATACCAAGATGAAATATGCATTGCCTAAGGCTGTAACAGCAAGCACAATGTGATAAAATCTAAAAAAAAGTAAATTTGCTGTGTTTAGGCTATTGCCTGTTTTTGTATTTTCTCATCAATTGGGGATATCCATCATAATGTCATTATTTGTCAATATGATGTCAAATTGAATAAGACACTTGGTAATGCTTGAGATAATAGCCATTTACATTGACTTGATCATCTGTTTATTTTGTTATAGTCTTTTCTAACTGTGTTTAGTATGATAAGGATCTAAACTGGATTTCCGCAGCTTTATATCAATGAACAGCAAATAAAATAAAATATCACATAGCATTATGGAATTTAAAATTATTTCAATTACTTAATTATCATAGTGAATGAGATCAAGACTTAAATGTTCATTATAAAAATGAATGTTACGATTAATGCAGAACATACAGTAGTAATATGAAAACTAAGAGCACAGAACAAGAGTATTTATTCAGTTATTATACCTCAGATATCCAATAAAGCCACAATGGAGCATATTTCCAATGGGGTCCTTGTAAAATTGGACTTAAAGAAAGTAACAAAACAATTGATCTTATTATTTGAAACGATTGATTTTATTATCGGGAATTGCACAAGAATTGCTTAGCGATAGGTTTTATGAAATAAATACTTCTCTAATAAAACAAATAATCAGTAGTACATAAAATCACCTTTTGTTATATATTTTAATATTTTGTAATCATAACTTCAAACTTTATACATGTTATTTCTTCGGGGAGAGAGTTCTAATATTTTGCTTAAGAATTGGAAAAAGGTGTAGATTCTAGATTCTTCTGAATTGATACCTTGAATGGAAAAACATATTTTCTGACCTAAAATCTTTCGTGGTTAATGTAAAATAGATATCTATTTTTTGTTATAAATATCAAAACAGGGGATAAGATGGAGCTGACTTACTCTATGACCTGTCAGTGAAAAGAAATATGACCTTTACTGATGAAATTAAGATTAACAGATTTGTTTTGAGTAATTAATAAATTTTCTTTCAGATTTTAATGATTAAATCTTATCCTTCATACCAAAATTAGCAGGTATAATCAAAATGAGTAGAATATAAAGTGTTAGGAGTATTTATAGAAAGATATGCAGTTATTGTTCCAAGATAGAAATTTTTTATCTTTTGTCAATATTTTTTTCACAATATAGAAGAAATGTCCAAAGTCTGTTGTTAGCTATAGAGGAAAGTCAGGTTTCTGTATGAAGTTATCAGTTATCATCATCGTTTTATTTACTTATCAGAATATCATAGTGTGACCAAATCTTGATCAAATTATTATAACCATTATGTTTTTCTTACTCTACAGTTCCTATATTGAGAGTACAGCAGAGCCGTAATCACAATGTAAGCAGTCTTTCATCATTGAAAAGGCCCGATACATATCATTTTCTACAAACACAAAACAAACAGTGGACAGAACCAATAAGTATTTGTCTGGAATGATGTCAACAATATGTTCCGAAGAAGCGTGTCAGCTGTCGGTGACAGAGACAGAGAGCCATTTAAGAACAGATGCCGACATGGGCCTGGATCCGGATGAAGCCAATCGACGTAGAGCTGTGCATGGCTACAATGAGTTTGAAATTACTAAAGAAGAACCTCTTTGGAGAAAGTATTTGGGACAGGTAAACCTGAAGTTTAGTGAGCTGTCCTTATTTTTGTAAAATATGATGAATCAAATTTTATTTGAATTGAATAAAGAAAAACAACATCTATGTAGCTGGAAGATATAAAAGATTACTATAATCACCAATTAGAGGCCATCCCATCACACAACATAAAAAAATTACTACTTAGTTCACAGTTGTAATGCTATTAAACATTAAGCAGTAATACTTTATCAAAGAACCTTCCAGTTAGACTCAGGTTTAGAATCAGACTTTTATAAATGTTTTGTCCTTCTGACCTATTTAACTGACTCTGTCTATAGTTTAACGATCCACTGATCCTGCTGCTCCTGGCCTCGGCGTTTATCAGTATATTTATGAAGCAGTTTGATGATGCCATCAGCATAACAGTGGTAAGTCTCATGTCTGAGAAATTTACATTGAAAGAAAAATCTGTGATTATGACTTAACATTAGAACAGCTTGTGATTACCAGTAATAACACTTACAGATTGAAATAATGCATATGTCAATATAGGATAATGTATGTGAGCAATAAACTGCTAAAATATTACTTTAATGTTAACATGCTACACCTGACAGAGCTGTGATAAACAGTAGTTTTCTGATGAATTCATGTTTGCAAAATTCTCTAGACTCACTATTCTCAAATGGCTCTGATGTATACTTTTTGGTTATTGAATATAACCATAAGGAGTTAGCACAACACGACCAGTTCCGATCCAATACACGATTTATTCATGCCACAAGTGGCTTGCATGTTTCAGGTCACTCCTTATGGTTATATTACATTCATTTAGCGAGGAATCGGTATACCTCAATTATCCACAGCAGTTCTAAGAAGAATTCACCGGATTTAATCGATTGTGGGACGTTTGTGTGGTTATTGAGTTTCTTTGTCTGATAGCTATGATTTTATGATGTTGTCTCACTTCTTTCCAGGCCATCATTATAGTGGTGACTGTGGCATTTGTTCAGGTAATTATAAACCATGATCTGTTCTACCATTTCTGATTTTCATTTATCTGAGACAGTTTGATAGGGATACTGAAATAACAGCAAACACATATCCTACCATATGAATCTATTGATAGCATAGCAGACATATATGAGCAATTTTCCTATATACCAGAGTCACTAATTAAACTGACCTTATAATGAACTTCAACAAAATCTTGTCATATTACAATGATCCTTTGTTTTGTGTGTCTAGGAATACAGATCTGAGAAGTCACTAGAAGCCCTGACAAAACTTGTCCCTCCGAAGTGTCACTGGTAATATACACTGCTGATAATGTTACAGTTTTAGTGGTGGTAGTTGCAAAAATATTGCGGGTTCAATTATTCACAAAAATGCATATAAGTTTGGTTGCTCAGTTTAAGTATAAGTATTGGAATGGCTGAAGATTCTCATTGTCTCATCCACTTTATCAAAGTAACTACATTTGAATTCATTAACTATTTAGTTTTGATATATCCATTAACTTTCTGACAGTTATTTATTATCAAATTTGACCAACTATATTTATGTACAGTGTATATTAATCTCATTTTTGACTAAAATGTAAGAATGCGTGTTCTTACTGATGATGAAAGCCCGAAAATCCATAATAATGCCTATGTTTCTAGGTGGTTGGGGAGAGAAAAACCAAGTTATTTCGATGAAATGTAAATTTTAAGTCTGCCACACTCCACACACAAGTAATATAGAGTTGACATGTTGTAAAAAAGACTTCAGGTCAATCTGAGGAAAAAAGATATATATATATTTTTAAATATTTGGAGAATTATAAGGTTATTGTGTTTCCAGTCTGAGAGAAGGGAAGCTGGAGACATTTCTAGCACGAGATCTTGTGCCTGGAGATGTAGTTTACCTTGCAATGGGTGACCGAGTTCCTGCTGACATCAGGCTATTTGAGGTAGGTCATACTGTCCTTGTCTTGAGTAATGTCACACTGCCCCGACATGTAGACATCCAAGGTAGGTCATAGTTCATATAATCAAGAACCAAGCCACTCTAGTTATGATAATGGAGGACAGTTACACTATTTTGTAAATTTGAAGTCAAAAGATATTTGGATTGCTGTAATGTTGCCACTCACTTTGAAAAAATGATTTAATCTTGTTTATACGGAATTAAGCAATAAAACTTTCCAGGTCTCACTTTTTACTTTTTATGAGTCAGGGGTATAAGATCCAATTGTTGGATACAAAAATCATGTTCTCAATTTCATACATCTTCATGACATATTATTAATTATTTTTCAAAATTGACGAAATCAGTTGATCATAATTCTGATAGTTATCTCCCTTTAGATTAGTTGTTTCCCTTCTAATATCAGAATGCCAGTACAACACCTGAATCCTAACATTGAAAAGGTTTAAAAACAGTCACATAATTTTCTTATTCTGTTTCAGTCAAATCAGTTAGCAATAGATGAGTCAAGTTTTACAGGAGAAATTATACCTCGATCAAAGGTGACAAGTGCTCTACCAAAACAACAGCATATAGACATCAATGACAGAAAGAACATCGCATACATGGGGACGCAAGTTCGGTGTGGACGAGGAAAGGTATTACTCGATAGGATAGTAGTCTCGGCATGTTTTATAGTAGCAGATCAATGTGGAATTATCAGATTCTTTACTTAATAAACCATGAAAAAGTGAAAGTAAATGAAATGTTGTTGAATTACTTTTCAGGGGTTTGTAATAGGAATTGGTGAAAGTTCTGAGTTTGGAGAAATATTCAAGATGATGCAAGAAGAAGAGGTATGCTTTTGTTCATTTAGTGATCCTCTGAATAGATATATAAGGTTAATCAGAGACTGATCCATAAAATAAATAAACAGGATTAACAAGGGACTAATCCACTAATTAGATGTACAGAGTTAACTAGGGACTGATCCACTAATTAGATGTACAGAGTTAACTAGGGACTGATCCACTAAATAGATATACAGGATTAACAAGGGACTGATCCACTGATTAGATATAAGATTAACAAGGGACTGATCCACTAAATAGATATACAGGATTAACAAGGGACTGATCCACTTAATAGATATACAGGATTAACAAGGGACTGATCCACTAAATAGATATACAGGCTTAACCAGGGACTGATCCACTAAATAGATATACAAGATTAACCAGGGACAGATCCACTAAATAGATATACAGGATTAACAAGGGACTGATCCACTAAATAGATATACAGGCTTAACCAGGGACTGATCCACTAAATAGATATACAGAATTAACCAGGGACTGATCCACTAAATAGATATACAGGATTAACAAGGGACTGATCCACTTAATAGATATACAGGGTTAACAAGGGACAGATCCACAAAGTAGATATACAGGATTAACCAGGGACTGATCCACTTAATAGATATACAGGATTAACAAGGGACTGATCCACTAAATAGATATACAGGATTAACAAGGGACTGATCCACTGATTAGATATAAGATTAACAAGGGACTGATCCACTTAATAGATATACAGGATTAACAAGGGACTGATCCACTAAATAGATATACAGGATTAACAAGGGACTGATCCACTAAATAGATATACAGGATTAACAAGGGACTGATCCACTAAATAGATATACAGGCTTAACCAGGGACTGATCCACTAAATAGATATACAGGATTAACAAGGGACAGATCCACTAAATAGATATACAGGATTAACCAGGGACTGATCCACTTAATAGATATACAGGATTAACAAGGGACTGATCCACTAAATAGATATACAGGATTAACAAGGGACTGATCCACTAAATAGATATACAGGATTAACCAGGGACTGATCCACTAAATAGATATACAGGCTTAACCAGGGACTGATCCACTAAATAGATATACAAGATTAACGAGGGACTGATCCACTAAATAGATATACAGGCTTAACCAGGGACTGATCCACTAAATAGATATACAGGATTAACGAGGGACTGATCCACTAAATAGATATACAGGCTTAACCAGGGACTGATCCACTAAATAGATATACAGGATTAACGAGGGACTGATCCACTAAATAGATATACAGGATTAACGAGGGACTGATCCACTAAATAGATATACAGGATTAACGAGGGACTGATCCACTAAATAGATATACAGGCTTAACCAGGGACTGATCCACTAAATAGATATACAAGATTAACCAGGGACAGATCCACTAATTAGATGTACAGAGTTAACTAGGGACTGATCCACTAATTAGATGTACAGAGTTAACTAGGGACTGATCCACTAATTAGATGTACAGAGTTAACTAGGGACTGATCCACTAAATAGATATACATTATTAACAAGGGACTGATCCACTAAATAGATATACGTTATTAACAAGGGACTGATCCACTAAATAGAGAGATATAATTGTCTAACCCTAGATCCAGAAATTCATATTTTGGCCCTCAGCTACTCCTCTTTCAATTTTGCTTTAAATTACCATGTTAATAGCATTATTAGAAACTAAGTAAAGATCTTATGCTGTACTGAGTTACATATTTGTAGATGTGATGTGTTATACTTGCTCCAATTATAAAATTCTTTGTGTTACAGTCACCCAAGACACCTCTACAAAAGAGTATGGACATCCTAGGAAAACAGCTGTCTTTTTACTCCTTCTGTATAATAGGGGGCATCATGTTTCTGGGCTGGATCCAGGGACGGGGCCTACTGGACATGTTTACCATAGGGGTCAGGTGAGTACAGGCTGGCTTTGAAGTACCATAATGAAAGGAAAATAAATTTGTGAGAAAGGAAATGAAAGGGATTATGAAAAGGTAAATGAGAGGTTATGAATGAAAATGTAAATGAAAGTATATGTATCTTCAAGATGGTAGATGAGAGAGTGTCTGAGAAGGTAGATGAGAAAACATAGAAGATGGTAGAAAAAGTGGGAATGTGCAGGACGATGGATGAGATAAAGTGTAAGATGGCTGAGGACTGGTAAATCTGTGTGTGAGATGATAGAGGAACGCATATGTGAGAAAGTAGATGAGAGGGTGTTTGAGATAATAGGTTTGAAAAAAGATGAGATGATAGATGTTTGATCTACATTGTAGTAGAGAGAAGATGTGTTAGACAGATTTTGGAAAATTATTGTCAGAGATGACAAATGAGAAAAGATTTTCAAATGAGATAATCAGTGTTGTGTGATGTTTGTCATTTTCAGTCTGGCAGTAGCTGCTATCCCAGAGGGCCTGCCTATTGTAGTGACAGTAACACTGGCATTGGGTGTGATGAGGATGGCCAACAGAAAAGCCATTGTGAAGAAACTGCCAATCGTAGAAACTTTAGGTAATAAAGTAATGGAGCAAATGTTGACTAATTTCTAAAACTATTTTAAAGTTTAATAAACCTGCCAGAAAGGCAGGTACTCTTCTGATCTTCTTATTGTGTGATGTCATTTTTAAAATTCACATAAATAAGCTATTTCATTAACTAAGTCCCCTCTTCATCAATAGCATAGGATAATATATTCTTATGTGGGTCTGTTCAGTGGACAGGGATATCACAACACAAGTGGTAGAGTTTGGCTGGTCAGAACAAGAGTTGAAATATTCCCTCCACAGAAACAGAACTATGTTTTATTTTTCTTGTATACTTGAAAAAAACTATTGGTAAGTTGTTGTGAAACCTACTCCTTGCACCATTATCATTGTTCTATGAAATGTATGTCGAAATTCATGATGCTATCAATTTGAGACATGTTACTATACATAAAATGGTGGCACTACCCAATTATGAAAAGCATCATAGGACATGTTTACTGTGTTTTCCCAACCTAGGTAAAAAAAAAATCTTTTCCCTATCAAAAACTGGAATGCACCTGTGAAATATGGGGGAATAATATACCTTGATAAATTACTCATTTACTCATTCATGCTTTTTAGTGCACAGAGGTTAAGTCAGTAATGAGACAGTGATACAGGCCCTTTAGGCCTCTTAGCTTTTTTCACAGCATATATTTGAATTAACTCAAAGGTTTTTGGATGAATGGCTTAAAATGATTTTCAAAGTAACATTTAAATGTTTTGAAATATCAAAATTATTTCGTCTAAATAAACGAGAGGTCTAGGGTCATGATATTGTGCCAGAAGCATGTAGGAATGCTGTAAATTTAGAAAACTATTTATTTTCATAACAATGAGGCATTGTATCGTGTAATAAAGTTAGTAGCATACCTAGGTTATCGTCTGTAGGGTTTAGTGAATAACTCAATTTCTAGGTCACAGTAAATATGTTGAAAGGTTTCAATGACATTTAGCTAGAAACTTGCTGCAAGGATGGTTACTTATTTTTATTTTAAGGCTTAAGGCTTAAGGAGGTTTGTGGGCCTGATTTTACCTTAACATTCTGAAATGAAGGAATATTCACTTTAGACGAATAGTTCTTAGCTGAAAAATTGTAGTTGAAGGCCATATGTTTATACAAAAATTGTATCCATGTATATTACTTGGCTCCTTATGTGGATGAAATAATTTTTTTGACCTATCTTGTGTCTATCACAGGATGTACAAGTGTTGTTTGTTCTGACAAGACTGGCACATTAACCAAGAATGAAATGACAGTGACTCAAATATACTCATCAGATGGGCTGATAGCGGAGGTATGTATACTACTTCAGGCTAAATTCTTCCCTGGCCCTGGATTCTCAAAAAAAAAAAATAAGATATACTGTTAGCAGCAATATGACCATGCCTGGTAATAGACCCAACCATATATGTTGCTGTTCTGTGGAATGTGTAGGCTGCCTGGGCATATTGCAAGATAAATACAATAGTTTCTTCAGTACAGAAATATTGTATAAATATGATTTCATATGGAAAGTTTATGAAATTTGATCTCTAAGGGACAGTATTAATTTGACATTTTAATTTTACTGGAAATGGAATCAGATATTCATTAAGACAGGCATGAAGAAATCTCTGCAATGATATGAACATTTTTCTTGACTAAACTCTGGGAGACTAGGTATTAATTATTTGTATGCTTTGATATCGCACTGTTGATATCAGTTCTTCTAACATAGCTGCTTTGATAAAGGATTATGTCCCTGATGCTAAATTTCCTGATTGTCTCTGTGTATAGGTGACAGGTGTAGGCTACAATGCTTCAGGAGAGGTGACATGTCAGAGACAGGAAGTAAGAGATAACTCTCATCCCTCTCTGGTAAAGGTCATAGAGGTCGGCTGCATCTGTAATGATGCTGACATATGTGCTGATGGATTACACGGACAGCCAACTGAAGGTGCTCTTATAGCATGTGCATGGAAGGTAAAAACTTGACAGAAAAAGTGTTTTTATGAATAAATAAGATTTTAAAATATCCTCCATTTGAATTTCGCAGGGCTAATTTTTCACAGATGTCCTGGGTTGGGGCAAGTTCAGGAGTATTAAGTTTCATGCATATCTATACATTGTTACCAATACAGGGATGATAACAAGATTTTGATTCACTGTGTTTGCTGAGTATTTCATTTTGTTTTATCTTTATTAACTTCAAATACAGTGAAATCAAACCTGATTTAACATTAGGGAAAGTTGAAGTGAGGTATTCATATATACTTATCACTTTTCAGATGAACATTCATAACATCCGCGACCTGTATACACGTCTGGAGGAGAAGCCCTTCGACTCTGAAACCAAGTGTATGACTGTGAAGTGTACACCTCAGTATGGAAATGTAAGTAACAGTTGTCTCCCCTTTAAATGAAAAATATTTATATCCATCATACTGCAGAAAATGACTGATATTAAGATTGATGTTTACGGTATGGAAAATTAATTTATCAGGTAAGTGATACAAGCCCTGTGGGACTCTTGTAATATCTATGACATTAACAACTGATTGTCATTGCAAAAATATTTTACATGTTGCACTTGACTAAACAGAAAGAAGAGCTAATTTTGGCATTCCAATTGTCAATTGAAGTCCTATTCTGCAGTGCACTTCCTGACTTACAGGCTAAGTTAGATAAACATTTCAGTCATCATATAAGTAGGGGATAATTTTATATTTCTACTATGAGATGGTTTGGTTTCTTAGTTTACACCCTGTTGGTCTCTCCATACATTAGGCTTTTTATACTCTGATAAAGCTGTATCCTTAGGTCATCTATAATGAAGCATTGTTTAAGGATGCTGATGTTTCAGATACTTTTTGATTTAAATGTTGATGTAGATTTACAATAAAAATAAAATGAAACATTGTGAATTTCTGACAGACTTCAATTACAGTTTTTATCAGATATGTCTGGCTGACTTTTCTTGTAAAATATGACTTTGTGTTTTACTTCCATAGTAGCAAACATGTTTCACAAACGTTTCATAACAGTATTGTGTATTAGTTAAAATATGAGTTAAAATATGTGAATCTTTAATGAAAAATACAGTTTAGATATAAATATATTGTTTGTGCTCTACAGGAAGTTCAAGTAAGTGTAGTTATCAGACAGATGTATGTTGCCTGTGTGTATGTCCTGATAGCATATATTGCATCACTCCATCAAAGTATTTTTAAAATCACGTTGATCCCCGATGGTATGACATATTTATGATCATCCGATTTTATATTTTTTAATTATAGACTTTAATGAAAGTCAATGTTGTTAATTGTGTTTTTGATAAAAGTTTTACTTTAATTTTACATCATGCTAGAAACTTTTGTTTTCTTCACATGGCAGTGTGTCACTCCTGAAGCAAGATGTTAGAGAGCTTAGGAAACTGGACACATGTAGTGGAAATTCATGTCACATTAACAAAGAGTGTTTTATCACCGTGCTGAATTACTAAACTGACACACACCTTTTAGTTTTGGTTTGATTTCTCACTGATTACACATTGCTTGATGTCTGTTTTTGTGTGTGATATGACGTATCGTCTGATTAGAACTTACGAGTCCTTACGCTTGTTCAAAATGATATATGTGGTTCTTGACAATTTAATTAATATGTTCCACTGGTTCTGTTTTAGCAGCTCATATATTAGAAATCTGTAAAACATTCATGATAAGACTTAATGTATTGAATTGTTTTACTAAGTATGTATTAGTCATATAAGCTAAGGATATTGTATTCTTACAGGGGAACTTGACTGATTCTTAATTTACCATACACAATGTATTTTTCAGAGTAAGGAGATAATTTACTTTGTGAAGGGAGCTATCGAGAAAGTGCTGAGTAACTGTGTGAGATACAACAGTGAGGGCTCCTGTCTTCCCATTTCTGATAAACAAAAGATGGGATATATAGAGCAGGCAACTAGGATGGGCAGTGCAGGATTGCGTGGTGAGTCAATATATTGGGCAGTGCAGGATTGCGTGGTTACCTGTAGGCCACTCTGATTGTCATGGTTACCTGTAGGCCACCATGATTGTCATGGTTACCTGTTGACCACTCTGATTGTCATGGTTACCTGTAGACCACCATGATTGTCATGGTTACCTGTAGACTGTTCTTATTGTCATGGTTACCTGTTGACCACTCTGATTGTCATGGTTACCTGTAGGCCACCATGATTGTCATGGTTACCTGTAGGCCACCATGATTGTCATGGTTACCTGTTGACCACTCTGATTGTCATGGTTACCTGTAGACCACCATGATTGTCATGGTTACCTGTAGACTGTTCTTATTGTCATGGTTACCTGTTGACCACTCTGATTGTCATGGTTACCTGTAGGCCACTCTGATTGTCATGGTTACCTGTTGACCACTCTGATTGTCATGGTTACCTGTTGCCCACTCTGATTGTCATGGTTACCTGTAGGCCACCATGATTGTCATGGTTACCTGTTGACCACTCTGATTGTCATGGTTACTTGTAGGCCACTCTGATTGTCATGGTTACCTGTTGACCACTCTGATTGTCATGGTTACCTGTTGCCCACTCTGATTGTCATGGTTACCTGTAGACCACTCTGATTGTCATGGTTACCTGTAGGCCACCCTGATTGTCATGGTTACCTGTAGGCCACCCTGATTGTCATGGTTACCTGTAGACCACTCTGATCATGCTGTGTTCTTGTGTTACAGTACTGGCGATGGCATACGGTCCTGACCCTCATAGTCTGGTGTTTGTGGGTATGGTGGGGATTATTGACCCACCTCGTCCTGGAGTCAGGGAATCTATCTCCACACTCATCAGTGGAGGAGTATCCATAAAGATGGTGACTGGAGATGCAGAAGAAACTGCCAAGGCAATAGGTATGGTTACTTCACAGCTAACTAACTGTAAATATGAGACTCATTCCATGGTGCTTTCGTGTCTATTAATACTTTTAATTGCATGCAATGATCAGGGATGTAAACATATTATACATCCCTGTAATAAATAAGCTTTATATAATGTACCATAATAATGAAATACATAAATGTGAATTTAGAAGAGTATATATGATGATGGTGATGATGATGGATTGGTGAATGAATTAATGTATACTGTTAAATTTATGTGAAAAAGCTTTAAAAATTAAATTAAATGATAATAATAAAACAGTTCATTTAAACATCTATGATTTTTCACTTAGTCTGGTTTTATAATACCCCTACACAACACATCGTACCATCACTGCTGAAATAAGAACATATTATATGAGACTTCCACTTAACATCAGTCACTACCACCTGGCAAATTGACGTCACAGGTTATGTGGACCGAAGATTCCAAAAAGCTACCAGAAATAGCTGAAGCATTGATAGGTACTTAAACTCACCTGTAGCCAAATTCACTCTGTGACGACTGTATCGAGAGGTGAAAATTGATTCAGGGTACTACCCAGATGATATCTACGTCAATATAGACAGATCTGCAAAATATTGTTGCCAATGACCTTTAATGAATATTACCAGAAAGTGTCTGATCTCTCTAATCTCCTGTGCTCTCTTTGCCTAATTTGTTTGCAACATGTCAGATAATTAGAGGCTTGTGAATTTGGAAAATGTGGGACAATTTGTGAATTTGGAAAATGTGGGACAAGTGTCTTAATTTTATACATATGTGCAATTTATTATAAAACAGATTTTTTTAAGCCATCAGAATTTGGCAGGCAATGTTAGTTTTGAAATTGAACACTTTTACCTGCACGACTGGGATTGTATGCTGTAGGTAACAGTGTTGAGTTATCTGTTTGTGTTTATAGGTGCACGACTGGGATTGTATGCTGTAGGTAACAGTGTTGTTGAGTTATCTAATTGTGTTTATAGGTGCACGACTGGGATTGTACGCCATGGGAAACAGAACTTTGTCTGGTGACCAGGTAGATAGTATGGACACAGAATCACTTAAAAACATCATGAACAACACAACAGTGTTTTATAGAACAACGCCAAGACACAAAGTCAAAATTGTAAAGGTAACACAAATTTCTCAGCTTTCAGACACTCCCAACAAACCCCCACTCTGCTGTACACTGCTTACCCATAGAAATAAAGTGGAAAAATGTAATTGAATTGAAATTTCCTTGCTATTGTAATATATCTGAAGGTCTTTGTTCAAGAGTCTGGCTCACTTACTTGCATTGTTATCTACAATTTTCTCCGAACAAGTTTTATTCCAGCCACAATAGCAGGAAGCCAGCTTATAGTGCAAATGTGAATCCTTGTTTCATTTTCTATGAGTATACATTTCCATCAAATATTCCTAGCTTTGATAACATTGTTCCATGTCCAGGTCCTACGGTCTTTAGGACATGTTGTGGGTATGACTAGTTTTGATAACATTGTTCCATGTCCAGGTCCTACAGTCTTTAGGACATGTTGTTGGTATGACTAGTTTTGATAACATTGTTCCATGTCCAGGTCCTACAGTCTTGAGGACATGTTGTGGGTATGACTAGTGTTGATAACATTGTTCCATGTCCAGGTCCTACAGTCTTTAGGACATGTTGTGGGTATGACTAGTGTTGATAACATTGTTCCATGTCCAGGTCCTACAGTCTTGAGGACATGTTGTTGGTATGACTAGTTTTGATAACATTGTTCCATGTCCAGGTCCTACAGTCTTGAGGACATGTTGTGGGTATGACTAGTGTTGATAACATTGTTCCATGTCCAGGTCCTACAGTCTTGAGGACATGTTGTGGGTATGACTAGTGTTGATAACATTGTTCCATGTCCAGGTCCTACAGTCTTTAGGACATGTTGTTGGTATGACTAGTTTTGATAACATTGTTCCATGTCCAGGTCCTACAGTCTTGAGGACATGTTGTTGGTATGACTAGTTTTGATAACATTGTTCCATGTCCAGGTCCTACAGTCTTTAGGACATGTTGTGGGTATGACTAGTTTTGATAACATTGTTCCATGTCCAGGTCCTACAGTCTTTAGGACATGTTGTTGGTATGACTAGTTTTGATAACATTGTTCCATGTCCAGGTCCTACAGTCTTGAGGACATGTTGTGGGTATGACTAGTGTTGATAACATTGTTCCATGTCCAGGTCCTACAGTCTTTAGGACATGTTGTGGGTATGACTAGTGTTGATAACATTGTTCCATGTCCAGGTCCTACAGTCTTTAGGACATGTTGTTGGTATGACTAGTTTTGATGACATTGTTCCATGTCCAGGTCCTACAGTCTTTAGGACATGTTGTGTGTATGACTAGCTTTGATAACAATGTTCCATGTCCAGGTCCTACAGTCTTTAGGACATGTTGTGGGTATGACTTTTTGTCACATTGTTAAGTTGCATTTAGTCTTTAGGACATGTTGAAAAACAAAACTAGTTTTGATAACATTGTTCAATAGCATAGTTGTAGATGGATTTGTTGAAGAAGTGATAAAGATGTATAATACATGTAGATGTTGTTATATGACTTGCAATTGTCCTGGCCAATAATTAGCTCATTTCCAATATACATGGTGGATGATGACTTTTTCACATTGTGAATACAATGAGTTTCTCTACCCAATAAGGAAAAACAAAACCACTTTTATTGTTCAATAGCATAGTTGTACACACTGAACACACACACACACACACATGTAGATGTTGCATATGACTTGCAATTGTCCGCCACGCATTTCCAATATACATTATTGACTCGCACACACACACACACACACACACACACACTCACACACACACACACACACACACACACACGCACACACACACACACACACACACACACACGCACACACACACACACACACACGAACACGTACATGCACACGCTCACACACACACACACGCACATGTACATGAACACGCGTACATGAACACGCACACACACACGTACATGAACACGCACACACACGCACGCACACGCACGCACACACACACACATGCACACACTCACACACACACACGTACATGAACACGCACACACAAGCACACACACACACACACGCACGCACACACGCACACACACATACACACACACAATATATATTATATTTTAATGTAAAGCTGATTCATGAATGATAACTTGCTAAAATAAGATTGCTACTTCTAATACTGTTTATATCATTCGTTGAAAATGTGTTCATTTTTACAGATCTGCCATTGAAGAAGGAAAAGCAATATTCTACAACATTAGAAATTTTGTCAGGTTTCAGCTTAGCACGTGAGTAGACTGAACTTCTTATCCTTTTTTTATATACAGCATTAAGTATTTTCCCTGTCTTTCTGATGATGAATGTCTACCATTTTTGTGATAGTGTATGTCCAGTGAACATTTCTCACTTTATTAACTGTTTATACAAATACCTTTTGTTTTTTTTTAATATTTGATATCCATTTGCTGCTTCAGTGATTTGTTCAGATTGTGTGTTTAGTATCCAAACAGAACCAGGGACACATAATTGCCGTAATTGTATACATACAAAGATTACCTAATAGTTTTTCTGTATCTCAACTTCTTCACCTTGCTGTTTACCATGCTGTTGCACTATCTACATAAAACAAGTTATCATTAGCCTTAATTTCAATATAAACCTATCAGTAAATATTCTGAAAAAAAATAGCTTTATGCCTAACTACAGCTGCCCGGTCCCTGTCTGAACACACATACCATACCTGAATTTTAGGATGGCCAGGTGGAATATCTCAGAACTAACCTGAAAAAGTATGGGGTGAGGGGGATCACCTGCCAGTACACATGGTTTTTCCCTGGTTACTCCTATTTCCTCCAACAAGAATGCTTGATATATGTTGAATTATGTATTTCACAATTGTTGTAAAATAAATACAGTTTATATATATTTACCTGACATCTGTTAAACAGGAGTATAGCAGCCCTATCTCTGATAGCATTGTCTACCTTGATGCAGCTACCCAACCCACTGAATGCCATGCAGATTCTGTGGATCAACATAATTATGGATGGCCCTCCAGCACAGAGGTTTAAATTTATATTTTGTGAAGATTTAACAAGAAAATATGAATTTCTGTGGCAGAGTAGAAAAGGATATATTTTCCAATGGAATTATGTTCAATGTAGTTTTTGGAGTAGTATTTGCTGTAAAAGTCCATTTTGTAGAGTGAGTAAATCATATCTGACAGTAAATAAGGCCCTTGTTGATATAAGTGTCCTTTCCTGTCAGATGTCAAATGATCGCATTTTGTCAAATTAGTGAAATACATATACTGGTTTGTGTCTGTAAGAAAATCAGTTATTAGAATATTCTTTACTTATTCATGGTCAATACATCTATATTCTGTCCTGAGGTGAAAAGTGAGGTAAAATTCTGATGTCTTTAAGTTTGGGTGTGGAGTCAGTGGACCATGATGTGATACGACAACCCCCTCGTAAAGTCAAGGACCCCATCATCACTAGAAGTCTCATATGTAGTGTCCTCATGTCAGCTACTATCATCGTCCTGGGGACACTATGGGTGTTCTGGAGAGAGGTGAGTCTCTATTGTTTACTCCTATGCATACCGTTAACACTGTCACTATTCACTCCTACACTTACCTTCAACACTGTCACTATTCACTTCTACACATACCTTTAACACAGTCACTATTCACTTCTACACATACCTTTAACACAGTCACTATTCACTTCTACACATACCTTTAACACAGTCACTATTCACTTCTACACATACCTTTAACACAGTCACTATTCACTTCTACACATACCTTTAACACAGTCACTATTCACTTCTACACATACCTTTAACACAGTCACTATTCACTTCTACACATACCTTTAACACAGTCACTATTCACTTCTACACATACCTTTAACACAGTCACTATTCACTTCTACACATACCTTTAACACAGTCACTATTCACTTCTACACATATCTTTAACACAGTCACTATTCACTTCTACACATACCTTTATTAAAGTCACTATTCACTTCTACACATACCTTTAACACAGTCACTATTCACTTCTACACATACCTTTAACACAGTCACTATTCACTTCTACACATACCTTTAACACAGTCACTATTCACTTCTACACATACCTTTAACACAGTCACTATTCACTTCTACACATACCTTTAACACAGTCACTATTCACTTCTACACATACCTTTAACACAGTCACTATTCACTTCTACACATACCTTTAACACAGTCACTATTCACTTCTACACATACCTTTAACACAGTCACTATTCACTTCTACACATACCTTTAACACAGTCACTATTCACTTCTACACATACCTTTAACACAGTCACTATTCACTTCTACACATACCTTTAACACAGTCACTATTCACTTCTACACATATCTTTAACACAGTCACTATTCACTTCTACACATACCTTTATTAAAGTCACTATTCACTTCTACACATACCTTTAACACAGCCACTATTCACTTCTACACATACTTTTAACACAGCCACTATTCACATCTACACATACCTTTAACACAGCCACTATTCACATCTACACATACTTTTAACACAGTCACTATTCACATCTACACATACCTTTAGCACTGTCACTATTCACTTCTACACATACCTTTAACACAGCCACTATTCTCTCCTACACATACCTTTAACATATTCTACTCACTTTTACCTGATCATACCTCACACACTGTTTTCCTTATGCTGTATGAAGCTATACCTATGAATATTGATAGTATGCTTTTCACACTCGTGTGTATACTATACTTTCTCATCCCTCCTGACTGGGAATGTTTAAATGAATATATATCTACCATCAGATGTTTTTATTTGGTTTTACTCTGTCTTATCTTACAAAATGTTACAAAACAAGTACCATATTTAACTTGAAAAATATTGCTATGTTCCAGATGAGTGACAACAAGATCACACCAAGGGATACCACAATGACCTTCACCTGTTTTGTGTTCTTTGACATGTTTAATGCTCTCAGCTGTAGATCTCAGGTAAGATTGATAAGGAATCTTTGAAGTTTTACATCTCAGGTAAGATAAAAAGGGAATACCTGTTCCTCTAAACCCCTGGTGAGCTTACAGGGAATACTCTGGTAAGGTTAGACATGATACTGTCATCTCTAGACTTCAGGTAAGGTTAGACATGATACTGTCATCTCTAGACTTCAGGCAAGGTTAGACATGATACCATCATCTCTAGACTTCAGCCAAGGTTAGACATGATACTGTCATCTCCAGAGTTCAGACAAGGTTAGACAGATACTGTCATCTCTAGACTTCAGGCAAGGTTAGACATGATACTGTCATCTCTAGACTTCAGCCAAGGTTAGACATGATACTGTCATCTCTAGACTTCAGGCAAGGTTAGACATGATACTGTCATCTCTAGACTTCAGACAAGGTTAGACATGATACTGTCATCTCTAGACTTCAGGCAAGGTTAGACATGATACTGTCATCTCTAGACTTCAGGCAAGGTTAGACATGGTACTGTCATCTCTAGACTTCAGACAAGGTTAGACATGATACTGTCATCTCTAGACTTCAGGCAAGGTTAGACGTGATACTGTCATCTCTAGACTTCAGGCAATGTTAGACATGGTACTGTCATATCTAGACTTCAGGCAAGGTTAGACATGATACTGTCATTTCTAGACTTCAGGTAAGGTTAGATATGATACTGTCATCTGTAGACTTCAGGCAAGGTTAGACATGATACTGTCATCTCTAGACTTCAGACAAGGTTAGACAGATACTGTCATCTCCAGAGTTCAGACCAGGTTAGACATGATACTGTCATCTCTAGACTTCAGGCAAGGTTAGACATAATACTGTCACCTCTAGACTTCAGGCAAAGTTAGACATGATACCATCATCTCTAGACTTCAGCCAATGTTAGACATGATACTGTCATCTCCAGAGTTCAGACCAGGTTAGACATGGTACTGTCATATCTAGACTTCAGGCAAGGTTAGACGTGATACTGTCATCTGTAGACTTCAGGCAAGGTTAGACGTGATACTGTCATCTGTAGACTTCAGGCAAGGTCAGACATGATTCTGTCATCTCTAGATTTCAGGCATGGTTAGACATGATACTGTCATCTCTAGACTTCAGGCAAGGTCAGACATGACACTGTCATCTCTAGACTTCAGGCAAGGTTAGACGTGATACTGTCATCTCTAGACTTCAGGCAAGGTTAGACATGGTACTGTCATATCTAGACTTCAGGCAAGGTTAGACATGATACTGTCATCTCTAGACTTCAGGCAAGGTTAGACGTGATACTGTCATCTCTAGACTTCAGGCAAGGTTAGACATGGTACTGTCATATCTAGACTTCAGGCAAGGTTAGACATGATACTGTCATTTCTAGACTTCAGGTAAGGTTAGATATGATACTGTCATCTGTAGACTTCAGGCAAGGTTAGACATGATACTGTCATCTCTAGACTTCAGACAAGGTTAGACAGATACTGTCATCTCCAGAGTTCAGACCAGGTTAGACATGATACTGTCATCTCTAGACTTCAGGCAAGGTTAGACATAATACTGTCATCTCTAGACTTCAGGCAAGGTTAGACATGGTACCATCATCTCTAGACTTCAGGCAAGAATAGACATAATATTGTCATTTCTAGACTTCAGGCAAGGTAAGCCATGATACTGTCATCTCTAGACTTCAGGCAAGGTTAGACATGGTACCATCATCTCTAGACTTCAGGCAAGAATAGACATAATATTGTCATTTCTAGACTTAAGGCAAGGTAAGCCATGATACTGTCACCTCTAGACTTCAGGCAAGGTTAGACATGGTACCATCATCTCTAGACTTCAGGCAAGAATAGACATAATATTGTCATTTCTAGACTTCAGGCAAGGTAAGCCATGATACTGTCACCTCTAGACTTCAGGCAAGGTTAGACATGGTACCATCATCTCTAGACTTCAGGCAAGAATAGACATAATATTGTCATTTCTAGACTTCAGGCAAGGTAAGCCATGATACTGTCATCTCTAGACTTCAGGCAAGGTTAGACATGATACTTTCATCTCTAGAGGCAAGGTTAGACATGATACTGTCATCTCTAGACTTCAGACTAGGTTAGACATGATACTGTCATCTCTAGACTTCAGGCAAGGTTAGGCTTGATACTGTCATCTCTAGACTTCAGGCAAGGTTAGACATGGTACCATCATCTCTAGACTTCAGGCAAGAATAGACATAATATTGTCATTTCTAGACTTCAGGCAAGGTAAGCCATGATACTGTCACCTCTAGACTTCAGGCAAGGTTAGACATGGTACCATCATCTCTAGACTTCAGGCAAGAATAGACATAATATTGTCATTTCTAGACTTCAGGCAAGGTAAGCCATGATACTGTCACCTCTAGACTTCAGGCAAGGTTAGACATGGTACCATCATCTCTAGACTTCAGGCAAGAATAGACATAATATTGTCATTTCTAGACTTCAGGCAAGGTAAGCCATGATACTGTCATCTCTAGACTTCAGGCAAGGTTAGACATGATACTTTCATCTCTAGAGGCAAGGTTAGACATGATACTGTCATCTCTAGACTTCAGACTAGGTTAGACATGATACTGTCATCTCTAGACTTCAGGCAAGGTTAGGCTTGATACTGTCATCTCTAGACTTCAGGCAAGGTTAGACATGATACTTTCATCTCTAGAGGCAAGGTTAGACATGATACTGTCATCTCTAGACTTCAGGCAAGGTTAGACATGATACTGTCATCTGTAGACTTCAGGCAAGGTTAGACATGATACTGTCATCTCTAGACTTCAGGTAAGGTTAGACATGATACCGTCATCTCTAGACTTCAGACAAGGTTAGACATGATACTGTCATCTCTAGACTTCAGACAAGGTTAGACATGATACTGTCATCTCTAGACTTCAGGCAAGGTTAGACATGATACTTTCATCTCTAGAGGCAAGGTTAGACATGATACTGTTATCTCTAGACTTCAGACTGGGTTAGACATGATACTGTCATCTCTAGACTTCAGACTAGGTTAGACAGGATACTGTCATCTCTAGACTTCAGGCAAGGTTAGGCTTGATACCGTCATCTCTAGACTTCAGGCAAGGTTAGACATGATACTGTCATCTCTAGACTTCAGGCAAGGTTAGACATGATACTGTCATCTCTAGACTTCAGGCAAGGTTAGGCTTGATACCGTCATCTCTAGACTTCAGGCAAGGTTAGACATGATACCATCATCTCTAGACTTCAGGCAAGGTTAGACATGATACCGTCATCTCTAGACTAAAAGTAGGGTTAGAAGTTAGGGATGCTGTTAACACTATATCAGATGACAATGCTCAACATATTCCTTGTAGGTTAAAATTCATCTCTCTTTATACATTTTGAAATGCATTATTATTTTTTTCCTTCAAGGAGAAGTCAATATTTCAAATTGGAATTTTCTCCAATAAAGTATTTCTGGCAGCTGTGATTGGTTCCATCATTGGTCAGCTCCTTGTCATCTACTTCCCTCCACTACAAGCTGTGTTCCAGACTGAGGCTCTTTACTTTCAAGGTACACAATATATGATCAACCTGCTGGCTTTACTAAAGATATACAGTACTTAAGACACATCAGTGCTAGGAACAGTGTTTTAATCTTATTTTTTGTAGATTTTCTTCAGTTTACAATGATTTCAAATTCATTCTATCAGTCATGAATGAATGAAAGCTATCATCCTTAAGTGTAAGGAGTAATATTCTACTGCATTCATGAAAAATGAAACTGTTGATAAGCTAAAATGTTTTGATTGAAGTAGTTAGAAGTGAAAATGCTTTTAAATCATTAATTTGTATAACTGTATCTGTATGACTTTATGTTGATTACTATTTGATGTTTAGGTACATATTCATGGAAACCTTTCCCTTTTTTGCAGATTTTGTGTTTCTAATATTCCTGACCTCTAGTGTATTTATAGCAAATGAAATTAAAAAAGCAATATACCGAGTAACAGAACGGAGGAAGAAACTACAGGCCTCAAGCATGTATTACCCTGACCACATGGTGTGACACCATAGCTAGTGTAGAGACCCTTAATGTGTTACCTGTCTTTTTATGTTGAAAATATAGTGATACTTATATGTCTGTGTTGATACTAGTGTATGTCACTCCTTTACACTTTACCTGGAAGTGTGACACCTGTACACTTAACCTGAATGTGTGACTCTACCATGTGTCACATCTGAAAGTGTGACACCTGTACACTTTACCTGGAAGTGTGACACCTGTACACTTTACCTGGAAGTGTGACACATGTACACTTTACCTGGATGTGTGACTGTACCATGTGTCACACCTGGTCACACATTAACATATGTAAACCACACCAGGAAGTGTGGTACTTGTATGATTATAAATGTAATACCTGTGATCACTAAACAATGTTTTATAAAACAATTGTGATATCATTCTTAGGTTGAAGTACTAGTGTTTTATATTTGTTGTATCTCTTGTCAAGTGTTGCTCATTAGTGTGACAGATGTCAGATGTTATGTATAATAGATGACACCTCACAATAGACTTATTTTATTTGACTGAGGATACTTATCCGAGGCTTAAGACATGTGTCATACTATAGTTTTTTGTAATAGATGACACCTTTCAAAGGACTTTGACTAAATCTGTCCGCTGATGTGACAAGTGAGGACTGTTTCCATATTTTTAGACTTGTCTCCAAGATGCTTGTCAATGTAGTAATGAATTATGTGACTGAAGATGTGACATGACTGAGGACTGTAATTTTGTCTGTGGACACCTGTACTGTGACTTGACAGAGGACACTTATGATGCAACTGAGGTGCACCTGAAATGTGACTGTGAACACCTGTGATGTGACTGTGGACACCTGTGATGTGACTGTAGCAACCTGTGATGTGACTGTGGACACCTGTGATGTGACTGTAGCAACCTGTGATGTGACTGTGGACACCTGTGATGTGACTGTGGACACCTGCGATGTGACTGTGGACACCTGAGATGTGACTGTGGACACCTGTGATGTGACTGTGGACACCTTTGATGTGACTAGGGACACCTGTGTTGTGACTGTGGACACCTGTGATGTGACTGAGGACACCTGCAGTGTGACTGAGGACACCTGCGATGTGACTAAGGACACCTGTAATGTGACTTTGGACACGTGTAATGTGACTAAGAACACTTATGCTATGATTTAGGACATTTATGATTCAACTAGGGTACAACTGTGATGTGACAAGGGACACTTGTGATGTGACTAGGGACACTTTTGATGTGACTGAGGACACCTGCGATGTGAATGTGGACACCTGTGTTGTATCTAAGGACATATGTGATGTAATTGGGGTCATCTGTAATGTGACCATGGACACCTTGTTCCCATATGAAACCTGTGACACATGTTTTAGACTGTAAACATCTGTATTGTGACACCTGTGACATGTTAGTGCGACTACATGTTTTTGTGGAAAGTTTTTGATAGAAATTGTTACTATAAGCAAATACATGAAGTCAATGTTTTGGGTGTCCTGAAAATAGAACTTAATATTATATCTGGCAAGCAAGTCTTTTTTTACTATCAATACCAAATACAATGACTACATAGCCATTCTAGCTTTACTGTACTAGGTTTTTTTTGTTTTTGTTTTAAATCATGTTGCTACTTTATAGCCATGATATATCTGATGTAAATATCATTACCAGTGTATTTATCATAATAGAATCATTCCTTACGACTTGTGGATAGTTAAAGATGTGTGGTGTCAGACGAGAGTTGCCTTACGACTTGTGGATAGTTAAAGATATGTGGTGTCAGACGAGAGTTGCCTTACGGCCCATGGATAGTTAAAGATATGTGGTGTCAGACGAGAGTTGCCTTACGGCCCGTGGATAGTTAAAGATATGTGGTGTCAGACGAGAGTTGCCTTACGGCCTGTGGATAGTTAAGATGTGTGGTGTCAGACGAGAGTTACCTTACGGCCCGTGGATAGTTAAAGATGTGTGGTGTGAGACGAGAGTTGCCTTACGGCCCATGGATAGTTAAAGATGTGTGGTGTCAGACGAGAGTTGCCTTACAGCCCGTGGATAGTTAAAGATGTGTGGTGTCAGAGACGAGAGTTGCCTTACGGCCCATGGATAGTTAAAGATGTGTGGTGTCAGAGACGAGAGTTGCCTTATGGCCCATGGATAGTTAAAGATATGTGGTGTCAGACGAGAGTTGCCTTACGGCCCGTGGATAGTTAAAGATGTGTGGTGTCAGAGACGAGAGTTGCCTTATGGCCCATGGATAGTTAAAGATATGTGGTGTCAGACGAGAGTTGCCTTACGGCCCGTGGATAGTTAAAGATGTGTGGTGTCAGACGAGAGTTACCTTACGGCCGGTGGATAGTTAAAGATGTGTGGTGTCAGACGAGAGTTGCCTTATGGCCCGTGGATAGTTAAGATGTGTGGTGTCAGAGACGAGAGTTGCCTTACGGCCCGTGGATAGTTAAAGATGTGTGGTGTCAGACGAGAGTTGCTTTACGGCCCGTGGATAGTTAAGATGTGTGGTGTCCGAGACGAGAGTTGCCTTATTGCATGTGGATAGTTAAGATGTGTGGTGTCAGAGACGAGAGTTGCCTTACGGCCCGTGGATAGTTAAAGATGTGTGGTGTCAGACGAGAGTTGCCTTACTGCCCGTAGATAGTTAAGATGTGTGGTGTCCGAGACGAGAGTTGCCTTATTGCATGTGGATAGTTAAGATGTGTGGTGTCAGTGACGAGAGTTGCCTTATTGCCCATGGATAGTTAAAGATGTGTGATGTCAGCGAAGGGTGTCACAGTGTTTCATCGTTACTTATTATTGTTTGGTGATATGAATTATTTTTGAGATTACTGAACTAAATGAATATCTCACAAGGCATACCTCCTTTCATCACTCTTGCCAAGTCATCCCAGCAAGCAAATAAGAAGACACTTACAAAATCCTTTGTCTATAGCTAATTTCCCGGTCTAGATAACGTTAGAAAAAAAAAATATTTTCAAAAAATCAGGCACAGGAAATCAACAATAGTAACTTAACACTTGAACAGCTTTATTGTACCGTATGAATGACAAATTTACCATGCCTATAAATAAGTCCATTTCTTCTAACTTTGACATTAGGGGAGGGGTCTCATTTGAGGATAAATATGGTAATGCAAAATGTGGTGTATAAGAAACTTTATTTGAGATCTGATATTATAGGAACTATATATGTGGTTGACTTGATGGGAGCAATAAAGATCAGGTATAAGTATTAAGTCCACGAGATAAGTAGGATTATTATTGTTTATTTGGTACCTTGCTTTGAGATGATATGTATGATACTATAACAGTTTAGTGGTTCTGTGTCATTTTTCATTTTAATAATTATGTGACAAGTAACTGACTTGATATTGGTTGTATGTAATCAGGATGGAAATTTAATTTATGTTTTAACTATGTCAAAGTGTACAGTGTATTGTTGTCATAGGTCTCAGTTTTAATTTTGCAATAATGAAAAAGTTTTATGCAACAGACAAGTAAGGAGTTTAAATTTATAAACTAACTGCTGTATAGTTTGCTCAGCTGTATTAATGAATACTAGGCCTGCTTGCTTATTCCCAATCATATTCATATTCAAGTAATGGATTTTTTGAGTGAAAATCCCGAGTTAAAGTGTGTAATTCCTAGTCCAACTTTTGAATTAATGAACTCTGTTCAGCATGTTAAATCAGTTTTCTCTTGTGCATATTTTTTTTTAGATGTGCCATTTGTTGTAATTATGACATTGCTTGTTTTTGATTACGTGTTTGACAATATAATTTTAGTATGAAAGGGAATGTAACAGAGACTACTGTCTTTTCTCAGACTTGTTTTTTCTTAAGAATATGTTATCTTTTCTTTTTTGACTTGTTTATTATGTAACTCAGATATGAACAAAATTAAGTTTTAACATTTGTTATCCAAAGGTAAGCCATGTCTAAAGATTATGGTTAGACTGTATATTAAATTATTTTCATGTCTCAAACAAATTGAACTTTCTATTATCTATATTCTGTATGGGAGAAAAAATTCTGTGATCTATATATAGTCTGTAAAGGGGAGAACTTCCTGTGATCTATATATAGTCTGTATGGGAGAGAACTTCCAGTGATCTATATATAGTCTGTAAAGGGGAGAACTTCCTGTGATTTATATATAGTCCGGATGGGTGAGAATTCCTGTGATCTGTAGTCTGTAAAGGGGAGAACTTCCTGTGATCTATATATAGTCAGGATGGGAGAGAACAGCCTGTAAAGGGGAGAACTTCCTGTGATCTATATATAGTCTGGATGGGTGAGAACTTCCTGTGATCTGTAGTCTGTAAAGGGGAGAACTTCCTGTGATCTATATATAGTCTGTATGGGAGAGAACTTCCAGTGATCTATATATAGTCTGTAAAGGGGAGAACTTCCTGTGATTTATATATAGTCCGGATGGGTGAGAATTCCTGTGATCTGTAGTCTGTAAAGGGGAGAACTTCCTGTGATATATATATAGTCTGTATGGGAGAGAACTTCCTGTGATCTATATATAGTCTGTATGGGAGAGAACTTCCAGTGATCTATATATAGTCTGTAAAGGGGAGAACTTCCTGTGATTTATATATAGTCCGGATGGGTGAGAATTCCTGTGATCTGTAGTCTGTAAAGGGGAGAACTTCCTGTGATCTATATTTAGTCTGGATGGGTGAGAACTTCCTGTGATCTGTAGTCTGTAAAGGGGAGAACTTCCTGTGATCTATGTATAGTCTGTATGGGAGAGAACTTCCAGTGATCTATATATAGTCTGTAAAGGGGAGAACTTCCTGTGATTTATATATAGTCCGGATGGGTGAGAATTCCTGTGATCTGTAGTCTGTAAAGGGGAGAACTTCCTGTGAACTATATATAGTCAGGATGGGAGAGAACAGCCTTTGGTCTGTATCCTGTAAAGGGGAGAACTTCCTGTGATCTATATATAGTCTGGATGGGTGAGAACTTCCTGTGATCTGTAGTCTGTAAAGGGG